AAAAGAAGATAGAAAGAAGGTGCCCAAGCAGCAACCCTCGCCAACCAAAGGACCAAAGGATTCGAGCTGAGCACGAATCAACGAGCTGACACGCCTCGTCCATGCCGAGTGCCTCTAGGACCTGCCCGCTCGCCCGAAGACTGGAAACCCGAACCGAAAGCTCCCAGACATTGACAACATGAAACATCCAAGCTGAAACTTCCTTTGACATGACCATTGCCCAGTCAGCTGCAAATGGAATGCTGAGTCGAAAGGGACGCTTCTCAAACTGCTTGAGACCCATCCATGGAAGCAGTGCGGCCATGCCCAGGGCAAGACCAGAAGCCAAGCTTTCAAGGTCCAAGACGAACCCCTAATATCATCCCTGGTCTGTGAATTTCCGGGTGAAGGGCGAGTATCCGATTTTCGCCAATTCCATTGAGCATGCAAAGCCGCCATAACACACAACCGCACGGTCGCTTCCTTCCATGGCGCTTCCGCCCCCCGTCGACTCCAGGCCGTCCCCCCCCCCGACTGCCGAGGCGCTCTGCTCCGTGAGGCCCACTTGCCCCAGCGCCCGCACCTCTCCGAAGCGACCGGTCCCAGCGGTCCCGGGGTCCGGGGGGAAAAACCGTCGGGCTGGTCGGAAAAACTAAGGGGGGCCGGCAGGGAAGTCAAGCGTGACGGTGGTTTTCCTTCTGGTTTGCCTTCTGGTTCCGCTTCAAAAACCAAGCAAAGGTGAGACCCTCAAAACACGACCCATACTACCAAAAAAAGGTGTGTGCCTTTTTTGGAAGTCCGTAGGTTGGAGGTGAGCACAGTGAAGTGCCAGGAATGGGATCGCTCAAGAGGCCCACTTCGTTGCCAAGGGATTCCCCGGGATCATTCCAGGCTGCCGCAGAGCCCAAAGGAGACCTGGCTTGAAGCTATGTCCAAGCAGGACTCGAGGTGATGTTTCACCAAACGCACCGTGATTCGAGAGTACATGTTCACGTGTTGTATGGTTTTGTGTACAACGTCAAAGAGGTACAAAGCAACAGTCCGGCAGTGGATCATCATTCAGCAGAGATACAGTGGTTTCAAACATGGAGAGGTGCACGCCAGCATGGATTTCAGTTCACCTACAGTTGATGTCCCTAGACATTGTTAGCGGGTGATCATGACGTTTGTAGGGAATTCGCCTTCATTGCTTGAATGGCGTGACCCTCCCACCAACAAGCGAAGCATGGAAGATGACGGAACGGAGGGTTTTGGTTTCCTCTTGGGAAGCCCCCCCTTGTCCACTTCCATGAATCACTCAAATGCCCAGTGGATTTTCATGGGAAGAAAAAGAATCGGCATGCCTTTTTTGGTTGGTGGACTGTCTGGGAAGGAACCCTTCCCAACAAAAAGTTGAAAAAAAGGGTCGACATCCACTGGGCCACTGGGTGAATGCCTGGAAAGAGAGTAGTCCATCCAACCACGAGGCCAGCCTGGCGCATGGACCGCTCGATCTCCGCATGGTCTCTTGCATCCAGCGCCAGCCTCGGAAGGCACAGAGGCTCCCCTTGGAGAGTCCATGGCTTCGCAAACCCAGTGATGAGCCGGTGTCAAGGATCCCAGACTTTGCCCCAGATGGAGATTTTCCAAGCACGGAGCCTTCCAGGGCTATGTGGAGCGTGCGATTTGAACCCTCCATCTGGGGTCGAATCAACCAAAGCACTTACAGTTCGGGACTCTGCGCTCAAACATGTTGGACCCTCAAAGTTGAAAACATGTCTGAATCTTGGACTCTGCGCGGTCAAAACGTTGGACCCCCTCAAAAGAAAATGTTGCACCCCCTCAAAAGAAAACCCTTCCGTGCTCCGCAGGGGCCCCCGCTGGAGCCGGTGCTCCGCCACGTTGCGCTGGCAGGCCTCCCGGCTCCCAGCGATCCGCGATCCGGGGGCGTGAGGGAAGAAGGTTCGGGGCCACGTGGGGGTTGGTCAACATGGGAAACCTGTCCTAACAAAAAAATGCGAAAGTCAAATCTTGTTTTTGTTGGCTTGCGTGATGGTCATGTAAAGGACCGTTTGATCAACCCCAACATGTACATTTCGGACGGAGAAGCGCGAGCCGGACGCCAAGGTCCCTCATGTGGTGCTTGCGCAGAGGCGATTGCGCAACCACGAGTTGCAAGGTTGACAAGCTCAGGCTGGTGCATGACCCAAGGCCAACATAGATCTCGAGATCGACGATGAACACTGCAAGGGTTGATCGTGAATTGCTAGATTGGGAACGGAAAGACGTCAATGACTCTCAAGTGCCTGGTATCAACAGAAGGTCACTGGCCGGACATTCTTGTGCTTGATCCATTCCTCCAATGCAACAATGCGGGTGTACACAAAGTTCCTGGATCCGGCAATGCCAGTATGTAAGCTTAGGCACAAAGGGCCATCCCAAAGAGATCCCCACAGCAAGAGGCAACGAGCACCGCAGACTCGGGGGTTTGCCCCATAGACGCAGTGGGACACCCGCTGTTATGATCCTGTTAGCCATGGACTTCCCAGCCTCCCTCTTGGCATTCTGCAACAGGAGCCTGGCAGTGCATATTGCTTGACCCCCTTGCTGGCATTCTGCTCCACCTGCTGTACAGGCTGGAGAAAGCAAAAAATCGCAGGACCACCTTCAATCTCCGAAATGTGTGTGTGCGTGTGTGGTGTCAATCCATCCCAAGGGTACCCTCAAAGATACCCAACTGGAACCCTGATAAAAGGAAACATGGATGAACATCTGCGATCCAATTCCTGGTGGCTTAACTTTGACCCATACCCAACACCCACCCAAATTTGTGACTGTTGGAGGTCCTGGAACCTCACCAGAGGGTCCTGCAACCTCACCAGGGGGTGCTGGAACCTCACCTCACCTCCTGGAACCTCACCAGGGGGTGCCGGAACCTCTCCAGGGGTCCCATCAAACCCATCAAACCTCCGAGGCTCTCCGCCAGCGCGCGCTCGAACTCGAACGCACCCCGGGAAGCCCGAGGATCTGGCTTGCCCTTCTGGATGCTCTCCTCCTGCAGCCCTGCGCCTGAGACCGGACTTCAGACCTAAAAGCCTGAGAAGAAACATGGCTGAGTGGCAAAAACAGCTCGTAAGCCCCAACATGGATCGCCCACTGCCTCTTTTCTTTTTTGGAAAGCACGATTTCACCTGCGGTCCCAGTCCTGGTGGAATTTTGACCCATACCCACATGTCTCTAGATCCAAAGAATTTGGAGTCCATTGGGTAGCGGGCAAATCCCTCAAGTTGGTGATGTGCTCAAAACCCAATATCCCCAGAAAATCGGGCGCTGAGGAAAGTAAATCCCCATCTGGCCAAAGCAAGGCACGAGGCACGGCGGGAAACGGTGGGCAAACCGCCTGAGCTCTGCGCTTTCTGCCTTGTCTAGCAAGTCCTTTAGCGGCACCTGGGCGGTTCTCTCGTGCGCCGAATGAGGAAACCCGAAAGAAACAAAATGAGGAGGAAAAAACAAAAAAACGGAACAGGATACTCTGAGCATGCAGTTGTTCATGAAAATTTGCATCTGGACGCCAAACACGGCAGAATATAGATCTGCATCTGCCTCTGCATCTGCATCTGCCACGCAACTGTGTAGAGGACAATTGTCAAACAAGGTACATCATGCAAAGATAAACTTGAGAAAGCCAAACAAACGAAAATACAGCCCCATTAGTTCCAGGATCTGGGACACGGGTCTGTATTCTTGGTTCCTGTGTTTTCCTCAGTTTTCTCAGGGGTGTTCAAACTTCTCCCAAAACAAGGCACAAACAGATTCAAGAAAACAAAAAGCATGGAAGCCCCATTGGGGAGTGGTTCCATGATCTGAGACATGAGGTCTGATTTGGTGTCTGCCTTTGTTTGTTTTAGAGTTGTTAAGTTGTGTGCATTTCCCGTTCCAGGTGCAAGAGCTTCTGTGCTCAAGTACCCTTGTCTAGTTCACATCCAAGCCTTGGTACAGTATTCAATCTTACCTGATTTGCAAAGAACATCTATTGGAAGGTAAATCCTGTGTAAGCTTTGATTTTAAATAGAATTTGATAGGAAGGAATTCAGAGGTCCCAAATTCGCATTTTTGCTAGCCCCCAGCACAACAATGGTCAGAAAATACAGTAACACTAACAGGGCCTCTCTAAAATTCAATTGGAACTTGAATAGGACATTTTGGCTCGATAAGAAAATACTGGTTCCAAATCCTACTGGAAATTTTGATAGACCTCCTGTCCAAATAGAAATGTACTTTTCAATTAGAGTTTAAAATGAGTTTGATAAGGAAAGAAACCAAAAATACTGTCTATTTCAGCCTAGAATCTAAACTATAATTTCCACAGGATCTCATTTAGAATTTCTTTACAAAACAGCTTACATTCAAGCACATGTTTTTCAAACGGAGTTCAACTAATGTCCATCCAAAACGTGAAAGAGACAGATCTCAAGAAAACTTGGCGCTTCCTTTGGCCCTTGCCCTTCTAACTCACTCCTTAACAGCGTGCCCTAAGGCGGCATACCGCGCCCCTATCGTTGGCATCTCCACAGTCCTATCCCCAACTGCCCTGGAACCTCCGAGTCTCCGTGTCCGGAGCCCCCAAAAACGCTAACCCCAAACTCGCCTCTCTGAACCCTGTCGACACCCAACACGCTTTCAGCAGTTGGGGATGAACAAGCTGTGGTCTAGGCACAGCAGAAGAGGTCCCCGAGCGCAGAATTTCCCCGAGCGCCCACCTTCGCCTGCCCTCCCCGTGACCAAGTGCCGGACCAAGAGGTCGTGGGTGGATTTGCCCGCAGCGCGCGCCTCCTGACCGGGCCAAAGACGCGCGCGTCTTTTCCGTGCGTCCGAAAAAGACCCAAAAAAAAAAAAAACTAGAGGGTTGACACCCAGAGGACAGTCGTTGGATTGTGATTGATGGAGAAGTCTTTGGAGGGAGGTGTATTCTTGGATAAGCAGAGGACAAGCCTTTACAAGGTACTTCTCACGACTTTGGTGTTACCTCCTCATGCTGCCTTTAACAGGACTTGTCAGGTGCGCAACATAATTTCTGGATTGATTCCCCAGAAGCTCAGGATGCCCGTCCATCCCGTACAGACCGCCAGCCGATGTGAATCCTACTCTGAACAATGAGAACCTCAAAGCCCCAAGCTCGCAGGAGTCATCCCAGAACCCATCTGGAAATCTGTCTGAAAACTGGAAAAATATTTGGTTTTGTTTGTGCAACTGTGCAACTGACACGAGATCTTGGTGCCCAATTTGGTCATTCAACCAAGCTGCTGCTGGCCGCACTCGAGCGACTCGAGTTTTCGTCTCTCGGCGCCTCTATCTTCTTGAGCTGGAGCAGAAGCTGCCCCCGAACCTGGCGCCCAGATCACGACCATGTGGGCATACACGGAAACTGGACATGGACCCAAAGCAATACATGGGAAGTACATGGTCGCCCGTTGGATTGATGTGCATGTTTGATGATGTTCCCCAGTTCAATTCACAGCTCAGCACTGGGCGGACCGGGGAGCAGTTCGTGCATATTTCTTCTCGGGCCCTAGTCATTGCATAAAACTCTGGCTGCAGAAGAACCCTGGTGCAACAGGATGCGTGCATAAGTACTGGGCCTCTCTTCGCCGGGCGATATCCTTCTCACGCTTGTCCAGGATCTCCTGGAATCTTTTGCTACGGTCAGAAACTGCACGCTGAACATGGGGGGTTGATCAAAAGGTCCAGTAAACAGGGGAGCACCATTGGGGAAACCACAAGAAGATGATTTTCCCCCCACTTTGAGGGCCTTTGAGGGAGTATTGATCCCATATCTTCAGCACCCAGACCTTCACATCTTGCCGATGTCAAGGAGACAGACCTCAACACGATTTCATGCTAACCCAGGCAGTGTATAGGGGTTGATCAACATTCCCTTATTACAGACCCCAGGAATGAGCATGGGTAACTGTTCCCGTTTAGTGGGGAAATATCATTTTTTCTGGTTTTCCCTCATCCATTTCATGTTCATTTCCACCTTTTGGTCAACCCCACATCTTCGGGACCCCGACCTTTCGTTGCAAGTGGGGAACCTGCCTTTCTTCTTTGTCGTGGTGAAAAGCCAAAGTATGGGCAAGCGAGCAGAGACCAAAGCCCGAGCTGGCTTTTGGTTCTGCCAACATGGCACTGGTAGATGAACCCAAGTGGTCTACCAAACGGTCTACCAAACGGTCTACCAGATCTACCTCTCAACTCAGCCGCCGAACCTCCCGCTTTTCCCCCCCCCCCTGCGCCTTGCCCTCGGCGATGAGCCGCTCCAGCTTCGAGGTCCAGGGCTTCAGCGCCGCCGCGGCCTGGCCGACGGCGCCGACGGCGGGGGACGGCGGGAATCGACGGCGGAGGACGGCTGTGATGGTCGGACCAGCCGGGGTCGGTCCTTAGGATACCTGTTTGGGGGCCTGTGACCTTTAAAGGGATACCTGTTTTTGTTTGGTTTCGTTTTTTGTTTCTTTTTCTGGGGATGGCTCGTCTGGTTGTTGGGGGGCCCTGAGAAAGGTTCATGTTCACACTGTCCAGCGCGAGAAGGCAAAAATATCATGCTGTCAATCTCTTTCCCTCGCGCGTTTGATCAGTTTGTTGCCTGGCTTGTGAACGCACTTGACCCAGTGGCCAGCAATCATGGAGGCTCGAATCCTCTCTGGGTCGCTTTTGTGTTGTTTGTTTGTTTGCTTGACATGATGTGCAAGTAGACTCGAAGTAAGATGCTTATGTTGACCACCTTTGTGAAGAAAACCTCAGAATGATTCGCCTTCAGATCGAGCTCTTAAAAACGCTTTCGATTGGCTCGCATATGGGTGTGGGTCAACAATAGGTACCCAAAACGGAACCCTGGTAAATGGACACATGGACTGAAACCTGCCGTCCCCTGATGGTTTAATTTTGACCCACCCCCATACTTCAACTACCATCCTCAAAACTTTCAGTTGTTGGTTGATGATGGTGGTGGCTGGTGGTGAATCCCTTCGGCTGGTGGTGCTTATTCCAACTCTCCAAAACTTTTCACGAAAACACGGCTGTGGGTCAAAACCCAGGAAACCCCTGCTGAACATCACAATAGGTGGCACATGGGCGTTCATTTGCCCCAAAATGGGATCGCCATAGGTTATGACCCATGGCCACATGGCGGTTTACCACCTGGCACCCAGTTCCACCCAGGGGTCTCCTAACCTCGAGGAGCTGCTGGTAGCGCCAGGGCTGCGTCTGCAAGACCTCGGCTCGGCTTCTCGGCCACTCGGCTGGCCGCCTCCCTCGGCTTCGTCATGGTCGCCGCTTTGGGGGCGCAGTTTGTGGGCGGCGGCCTTTTTTGGTCTCCCTAAAACAGCCGTGCCAGCTGATGCACCTCGCGAAAAGCGGCCAACGGCCGTGCTGGTTTGTGCCTGGAACAGGGATCCTTACATGACAACACCTGAACATTGCAACTATGGTGGTAAACCCAACTTTATGTTGCTGTTGAAAAAGCAACATGTTTCAAATGGTTGCAACATGTATCTTTTAAGGAGCCCTGCTAAAAACCATCCGAAAAAGGGCACCTCACAAAAAGACGCATCCATGTAGCACTGGAACCATCCGAAAAAGGGCACCTCAAAAAATGACACCTCATATATCACCGCAGACTGGGAACCATAAAACCCAAGATGTCCCCGAAATCTCGAGGACGTCAACTGGAGACGAGTTGTTCGTCATTTGCGGGTAACAAAGTGGACAGCTCTCTATGAGCATCTGGTTGCAGTACCAATTCTGTCACGCCCTTCAACCAGCCAGAGACGTGAGGAACGCATGGCCTCCGAATGCCCACAGCTCTTGATCTTCCACCATGGCTTGATGGATGCCAGCCAAGGCGCGGGGAGGGCACGCTGCACTTCTCCAGCGAGCACATCGCAGCCTAGCTGATGAGTCTCTCTCTCTCTCTCTCTAACTCTGCAAATTGCGCGACTCCCTACGCCAAGACCAAGTCAGTCAACGGAAGAAGAAAAAAGAAGAGAAAAAACGCTGGGCCGCGGGCGCTGCTCGTGCTCGCGCAACTCCGCCAGCCGCTGGCTCGCAGCCCGCAGCTTCCTCGGACACGCATCCAAACTGAAAGCCCCCACTCTGGAGGTCCGGCACCAGTATCAGTCACCCCCCAAGTGGTAGGTCAAAGGGAAACCACCAACCAGTTTCTGACTTGAATTGACCCCCAGAAATGGTCCAAACAATGAACCCAAGGGGTTGGCGTAGAAATGCGCCAGCTCAGGCAAACCTCTTCTCGCTCTTGACCTTTGAGGTGTTTCACCCTTGGCATTCGCTGGTGACTTCCCTTTAAGGTGCCTTCACAAGCGCGGAGGCAACCGACATACGCCTGGTGCAGCTTGGGCGGGCGCTCTGCCGACACCCCGGCGCTCTTCGCGGCCCGGACCGCCGTCTCCAGTCGAAGTCGGCCCTGACGGCAAGGTGCAGCGGCTCCGGCAGCCCCGCGTCAACCCAAAATACAACCGCGCGGGGGCACGCCTGCGGCACCTCAAGTAAACGCCTCCACTCCCTCAAACCTTGAGGCCCGGCCGCTCATCCCCCGCAAGCCGCACTCATCTCGCAAAGTCACCCCAGCTTACCACCCCCTCCCCCTCATTTCTTCCGGCCTTTTCAGCCCCCGGCAAAAAAAAAGACGTTGAGGCATGGAAACCCCCGACTAAGCGCCGACTCTTCCAACCCCCCCCCCAACCACCCCCACCCCCCCCCCACCCCCCATCCACTCCACCCCCCCGCCGCCCATCCACCGCCCATCCACCGCCAAGCCACCGCTCACGAGTGCTCCGCGCCTGGACCCCGACGCCTCGGGAGGCCTCCATCAGCTCCGCCTGGGTGGACTCCCGGTTCACCTGGAGCTCCTTGAGCCGCAGGCACTGCCGCTCCGCCGTGTGCACGTTCAGCCCCAGCCTCGAGGAAAGAAAAACCAGGGCCATGTCGATGTGGTGGGGCTCCACAAAAGCCCGAAAAACGATGCGCCTCACTCAAAAAAAAATAAAGGAACAAAAACAGAGGGAAAAAAAAGGAAAGAAACAAAACAAAGGCGGGGGGAAAAACAAAGTCAGTCCGAGTTGTTTGGTGGGCTCCACGAAAGCCCGAAAGATGGAAAGGACACTTTGGAAGCACGAGAGTTTTCCGGGCTCCGTTCGTTCAGGAACGCGGAAGGCTTTGGAGAACAACCCACAAAAAGCCGCCCGAGATGGAAATATGAGTCGTGAAGTCCAGCGGATTGAGGACTGAAAAAAAGCCATCCGATTTTTGGGATGGAAGCAAAAGTTGGGAGATCAAAGGTTGGGGCTTTCTGGGGAAACCAAAGGTTTCCAAAGCGATGTTCTCTTCTGGTTTCGGCTGGAGCCGGTGACCTGGCTGTGTTTCAACAGGCCGGTATCCCTTTCCGGGGATCCAAAAGCATCCAAAATCCGTCCGGGCTAATGCGTTCTGGGTATGTCAGCTTGATCCGTCCGCCACTTCTCTTCCAGACAAAAACATATGTTCTGCTCGTCATCCCTCATGACCCATCCACCCAGAAGGCCACGCCTTTTGCACTCTTCCACGGCTACCTGGCAGCAAAGGCGGTGACAACAATTGAAATGAGAAGCATGACACCTTGCCGTTTGAATGAAAGGATTTGAGATATGGGAGGTTCTAAGCTACACCCCTTTGGGGGTGCCTAACTCAAGAAAACATATTCCACTACATGAGCCGGGGACAAAATTACTTGTTTGCCCCAAAGGTACGCGGACAAACTGGGGCAGCTCCCCTTGTTTTACGTAGCGTCCTCCCATGTCCTCCTCAAATCAACAGTAGGCTGTTGATCCAAAGTTTGTGCCAGAATGGCGCCTTGGTACATGGAACCAAAGACCAAAAAATAACTACCCTTACTCCCACTAACATGGCACCTGTGGGGATGATCAGTTGCGGAGGCCCTGTCATGTGCCATGAGAGAGAGAGAGAGAGAGAGAGAGAGAGAGAGAGAGAGAGAGAGAGAGAGAGAGAGAGAGAGTAGCTCTTTAATTTTGAGCCACACCCAGTGGACTGCCAAGCATGTCGGAGGCTGTGTAACACCCCCGGTCGCCTGCAGCCTCTCAAGGTCCGTCTCTGTCTGGCACCGCCGAGATAGGGCGCTCCTGAGTGGCATCCCTTTCCTTTCTGCTGAAACTTGTGGTCAACGCAAACGTCACTCTTTGATTGGACATCGGCAGTGCCCTCAAAAGAGAGTTCTATCCCTAGGATGTGTGTGTGTGTGTATGTGTTTGCGTTTGAGTGCTGCTTCAAAAACTGGCTGGTGTCAAGATCGCAAACCATTGACATCCATTCGCTTTCCAGGAAACAACGACCAACAAGAGAGTACTTATTTCAACATGTTCAAGCCTTGAGACCTACCCATATCGAAGCTTCCAAGTGGACAAACGCCATGGGCAGTGCCCAAAATGTTTGGTCAGTTCGACAGGACCGGCAAGCAGGGCTCTGACTGCTGCTCGCGTGAAATCGCACTCCATATTCAGAAGTATTTAGATTTCTTCGGATGCAGCAACTTGGTAGCAAGAAATGAGGCTTCGCAATACGGGTCGATTTCGCGGCTTTCCATTCGCTTCTCGCCGCTTCCGTTTCTCACTCACTCTCTCTCTCTCTCTCGAAAAAAAATAAAAATAAAAATAAAAATAAAAATAAAATATCGCGCATGACCCGCCTCAACTCGTCCTCCGCGGCCCGGCGCAGCTGCAACACCTGAGCTGCGGATGGATTCGCCACACCACAGCATCAAGTCCAGGGGTTCTACGATGTGACTTGCTGGTGCGATAGGGCATTGGAAATGGAATGATCCCGAACCAAACCATCCCTTGCTGGTGGTTTCCTTTAAGGGGACAGACACCCCAGGTTCATTCCCTCATTTGAGCAGCAGCAAGTTGAGCCTCAGAATTGGGAATGTCCTTAGATTCAGAGCCAAAGTGAGGGGCCATGGGCCGAGATGATGGTCCAGTGAAGGCTCAGGCCCTGAAAATTTGCGGTCAAATGGTTCTGATCAAGGAGGTCTGCTCAGGAATTCGGGCGTCCAGAAAAATCCGCACGGCTGGCAAGCTTGGAAGCAACCTACATTTTTCCGACCAATGACAACGTCTGCGCCACTGGAACTTTGCCACTCAGCCCTCCGGGCTTGGACAAGTGTGAGGCCGCAAGGCCAGGCAACGAAGGGAGCTCAAAGCATCACTGGGCAACGGGAATCCTCGTGTTTACCCCCAAGGGTATAGACAAAGGCGGCTTTTCCTTGCCCAAATCGCAGAAGCAAGGCTTCTCCCTCTCACTGATGGCATCTGAGGGACACTTGCCCTTCAATCTGGGCGCCCGCTGTACAGACATCCCGTGATAAAAGTTACGGGTATGAATTCGGGGCTCCCATACGGGGGCTTCTGTCATGTTACAAGCAGGTCTGCCGTGGCAAAGCGAATATCCAGCTTTGTGCTTGGACATTACATTTCATCACATTACATCATACCACATCATATTGCACCCAGCGACATAGCGTCCCCCTCCAAGTCAGATCTCGTCGTCATAAGCTTGCACGGAATCGGAGGCACTCCCTCTTTCACCTTGACCTCCTTCAGCCCCACGGTTCGCAGGCCCAGTCTGACGTAGAAGCCCTCGGCCAGCAGAGAGGAGCAGCACTCGAAGTGGAAGACCTCCAGCTCCTCGGCCTGGCGCTTGCAGGCGTCGAAGATCCGCTTTCCGAGTCCCCGCCCTGCCCACTCGGGGTGCACCGCGAACTGCCGCAAATGTCCCAAGCCCTGCGCCACCTCGGTATCCTGGGCGTCAGGACCCTGCGAGGACCACCCACCACAAGCAACAACTGCGCCAGAGCGCAGGTCTGTGGCAACAAAGAATCGCCCAGACTCCAATAGATCTGGCTCTACTCTGATGATGTGTGGCAAGAAGGCATCCAAAACTTCATCCTCATAAGTGCCACGCAAAAGCACTGAATAAGAAGCCTGCAAGACCATATCAATGGCTGGCCCATCTGCTTCGCGCGCAGGGCGCACCAAGAGGTCCGTTCCACTCATGCTCATGGCTGGAACTGCTTTGGGACCTTTGAGGCAGCGACCCGCTTGAGCCGAGATTGCCTTGGGCTAAGTGAAGGCCACTCGCCACACTCCAGTAAAAGCTTTCAGAAGAGGCGATGCCCTTAGAGGTCAAGCGAGGCTGTCGTCAGACATATTGCAGTTCAGATGTCCTTTTGCGCAGAAACGACCATCAGGCACGAAGCCCAAAACCTTTGAAGCCCATTCGGAACCATCCTCGCGGGCATGCTCAAGACTATGCCTCTACGTGTTTGTTGAAAGGCCATAGAAAGGGCAACGCGCGCGCGGCAGTTGTAAGGCCAGCACCTCCACACTCCTCGCGCTGCATGGTGTTTTTATTCCCTCGCCTGAGTAGATTACATGGACCCAGTGAAGCCACATGGGGCTTGATCAAAAGATCCTGTACATGGTGTGACCAATAGGGAAACCATCAAAAAAAGATGCGTGGGAAAAGTGACGTGCCATCTATCTGGCTGCCAGTTTTGGGGTTGGTTCTGCAGATAGTGAAAGTTGCTTGTTGGGCTTGTTTCGTCTCAAGCTTGCCGCGCCTTGCTTTTCAGCGATGGGGGTCTTGCTTGAGGAATGTTTGTCTGAGGCTTATCACTAGCTATCATGAAGTGACAAAACCCCCATTCACAGAATGGCATGTTTCCCTTCGAACCTCATAACGACCACTAACAAGGGGTGAGAATGGCTCAAAACCAGCTGTCTGCAGAGTCACCTGAGAATGGCTCGAACCATAGGTGTCCTTTTAGGGGAAATAGATGGTCAACGTCGGATTCAGAAACTAAAAAAACGGATTTGGAAACTAAAAAGTCGGATTCAAACTAGGGTTCGGAAACTAAAAATGCGGATTCGGAAACTAAAGCGGCGGATTCGGAAACTAAAGCAGCGGATTCGGAAATTAGAATTCGGAAACTATTCTTCGGAAACTAGAACGTCGGATTCGGACACTAAAGCAGCGGATTCGGAAACTGGGGTTTGGAAACTAAAAAGACGGATTCGGAAACTAAAAAGTCGGATTCGGAAACTAGGATTCGGAAACTAGGGTTCGGAAACTAAAAAGACGGATTCGGAAACTAAAGCGGGAGCAAAGAGAACGCTGTTAAGGCCTGTGAGCATAAGCCTGATGCTCAGCCCAGATTCTGCGGCTCCTCTGGCCAGGGCCAAGGTCCACCAGCAAGCCTCAGGTTCTCAATCCGCGGGCAAAAAAGGACTGTCAAGCAAATGACGGGTCAAACACCTCAGGCTCTTCAAGAACATTCTAGAGGGTAGATCACTGTAGCAACCCCAGTGGCCCAATTCCTCTTCCTCTGAACGCAGGCGAGCGGCGGCTCGTTCGTGAAGCGCCCCTTTCTGCCCTTGTTGGCCCAACGTGCCGCATCCTCAAGCAGACGACAGATTCAATAAATCAATGGGGCAGTCACGTGTAGTGGCCGGTGCAAACTGTCTTATGTTTAAACCAATGCTGCACGGCGCAGATTTCAGAGGCTTCAAGCGAGCAAGGCGCTCTCCTTGCGTCGGACGGCTTGTCCGCTGAGGTGAATGTTGATCTTCCCGTAGTTGACAAGACAATGGCAGGGAACTGGTTCCACATTGCGCGGATTGTGCAGCTGCTGCTGCGTGCGTCCGCTATTGCCGTAGCTATTTATTGCCGTAGCTATTGCCGTAGCTATTGCCGCGGCTATTGCCGTAGCTATTGCCTGAGGGTTCCGCGCCCCCCCTTGCGCCCAGCCAGCCTTGCCAGCTCTCATGGCTGCTGCCATTGCTCTGCTGGGAAGTCCAAACTTGAGCGTTGGACACGAAATCCGTTGTCACCTACAGAAGAGGGGGGAATATACTGTAAAATCCAAGTATATGGTGGCTTAACATGGTTCCAAGGCGGTGACAATGGCTTTCGTCCATCCACAGCACGCGCTGCACAATATGGGTTCGTCTTTTTTGAGGTACCCCTTTGGGATTTAAAGGGAACCTGATGGAAACCACACATGGAACCTCACAAGAAGACAAGCGTGTGTGTGTGTCTGTTAAGATCAAGGTACCTCCGAAGAGGTTGAAGTTCTGAAGTGGGGGCAAACAACAAATACATTCCGAGACTCCTTTATCTTACCAAACTGAAGTTCTAAAGTGGATGGTGCCAGCTCACTCCCGCTAGGGCTTGGAAAGACAAGGCCAACACTCCTGCAAATTCATTCAAACCGACCCTCTTGCCAGCATCATTGAAAGTTTTCTGGAGGGCCAGCTTCCTCTCCTCCATGCAACCCCAAAGAGGTTGCAGCCTGGCTCTTCCCAGGGCAAAACCATCAGAGGCAATTCTGCCAAGGCACCTCATGCTTGCTGCCCAGCTGGTGGACTGGAAACCACCAGCTTGCCAGGGTGTAGAGCGCCACGCCCGTTTTCGGCCTAAAGCTTTGCCAGGCAATCGAGGCATGAGCGAATAACAATGGCCAAACACAAAGCTAACGGTGATGGAAATATCAAGGGTTAAGTGAAGGTCAGGAATCGCACCCCTCTGTCATGTGTTGTGTTAGGTGTTTCATGTCAAGCAGTTGGTCAAGTCATGGAAGTGGGGTTCATTGCCACTGCTGTTGGGTCCAGCCGCGGTCATGTCGCCTCGCCTTCTCAGCCAAGTCTGAAGGGCGTGATCCAAGTGACGCAGGGCTCTGACTCGGAAAATCCATGAAAGCCTCTTCAAGCAACTATCAGGAATTTGGAACCCTTGTTTTTTTCTTTTTCTCAAACAAGCCAAGAAAAGAAACTGCGATAGGGGCACTGAAGCAGAAGCAAGACCTACTCTTACATGGTCAATTCGCCGCTTTTCACAAGAAGATGTCAACTTCTCCCACACCCACTTGGCTTCCCGCGGCTACTCGTGACCAAGTATTACAGCTGGAAAGACAGTACTGTTCAGTTCCAAGAGGAAGCGGCTCAAGTTACCCTAGCTACATCTCTGGGAGCAGTTCAGCTGTTTTGGCATCGCTCTCCCTGAAAAAAAACATCTGCATCCTATGGCCATGGAACGTTCAAAGCTGGCGCTGGAACTTTTCCACAAAAGCTTCCAAACACAACTAAATAATTGAAACAGGGGTTTGGGGCTCCGGATAGGACCATCTTGCGAGGGGATTCTTTTTTTAAAAACAAAGTTAGAAACAATGTTTAGCCCCATCTGGCCAATTTGCAATGACATAAATCCACAACCACAAATTAGGGAACTACGGGGAGAATGGACCCGCCTCGTCCCTTTAAAAGAACCATTCCCATACTTTGCGGCATGGGAATCAACACGAGCAGTGTGTTTCGTCTCCTGCTTGACTCCACCGCTGGGCGTGACCCGGTGCACAAAGCAATGCTCAAACGCCCTTGCATCTGCCTACTGATGAGGATACGCCTTTGGAGGAACACTGTTGGCTTTGCGCAGACTGCAATCGAACACATCCACCACAACTTTCAAATAGCTTCTTTTTCACATGACCGCGCCAATCCACGCAGAGGGTCGCGCGCGCACCTCAAAAATCGTAAGAAACCCTCAGTTTTTGCACACCACGCCAATCCTCGCAGAGGGTCGCGCGGGCACCTCAGAAATCGTAAAAAGTCCTCAGTTTTTGAAAGCTCACAAAACTCATTTTGTTTTCAGGCCTGGTGGGACAAGCAGTACACGGAAGAATTTCGTGTGTGATAATAGCATTTGAAATCAAGGGAGGCTTTTCACAGTTTTGCAAGCTGCCAGAATCAAATCTCGCATGAATCACCCCGAGCTGCACAAAATACTTCAATCATATCACTTTGAATCATATGACTTGTGCACCCCGGAAGTAAACATTAGACAAAGGACAGCATGTGTTAGCAGGCGCCAAGTTTCACGATGTGAAGCATGGGCTGCACGCGCTGCCCTTCAATTAAGAAAAGCATGCGCTAAGCACAGGGCTCCACCATGCAGAACACTGGCGTCGCCTTCCAGTTTTTTTCAGGGAGACGCAACGTATTTTGACACAGGAGAACTATGGGCAGAGTCTAGACCCCACTTGGGAAAAGGTTGGCCAAGGTGAAGAAAGGTGTTTGGGGCCATCGGCTTTCTTTGGGAGTAGTCAAGCACATTCCGAATTCGGAAACTAAAGCGGCGGATTCGGAAACTAAAGCGGCGGCGGATTCGGAAACTAGGATTCGGAAACTATGCTTTGGAAACTCGAACGTCGGAATTGGATCCGGAAACACATGGCAGACTGGATCTGCCAGTCCTTCCAGTCTGGAGCTGGCAGCTGCCAGGCTGGAGTTGCCAGTTCCGAAGCTGTGAGCTGCCAGACTGCAGTCAGGAGCTGCCAGTCCCGACTTTCCAGCCAGCTGCCAGCCTCCAAACTGCCAGCCCCGACCTCTCAACCTGCCAGCCACCAGACTGGACCTGGCATTCTGGAGTTGCCAGTGTGAACCTGCCAAACTGGCAGCTGCAAGCCTCAGCCGTAAACGCTGGAGTCGGAAACTGTAGCGTCGTATTTGGAAACTAGGGCGTTGACTTCGGACACGAGGAATCGGAAACATGTAGGGTCGGACTTGGAAACCGGAAAGCTTGGGATTCTAAAAGTAGAAACGGGAAACTGTCTCCTTCACTTTGAGCCGCGAGAAAACAGTCTGGGATCAGCAAGCGTGCAAGCGACCTTGAAGCAGGACAGCCCATGTGTGCAGCGCTGAGAGGCTGCACTTGAGCGGGGGCGCTTAACATGCGCAAGGCACGTGTAGGGCGCTGAGCGGCGCGCTTGAGTGGGGGTACTTACCATGCGCCAGGCATGTGTGCAGCGCGAACTGCGCGCACGTGTGCTTACCATGTGCCAGGCATGTGTGCTCTCAGCGGGTGCGCTTACCATCAATATGCAGTGCTGAGCGGGCTCGCTTGAGCGGGGGCTTACCATGCGCCAGGCATGTGTACAGTGCGCTTGAGCGGGAAATCCTAGGCGAGTGCAGTTGAGCAGCTGCGCTTTCCATGTGCCAGGCATGTGCGCAGTACTGAGCGGGTGCGCTTGGGCGGGGGTGCTTGCCATGTGCCAAGCGTGCGCGCACTGCTGAGCTTGAGCGGGTGCTTACCATGTGCCGGGCATGTGTGCACTGCTGAGCGGGTGCGCTTGAGCGGGTGTGTGTGTGTGTGTGCAGTGCTGAGCGGCTGCACTTGAGCGGGTGTGCTTACCATGTGCCAGGCATGTGTGCAGCGCTGAGCGGGTGCACTTCTGCGGGGGTGCTTACCATGTGGTGTGCACTAAAAGAATACGCTTGAGCGAATGTGCTTACCTGAGCGGCAGTAGTTTCTGGAGTATAGTTTCTGAATCGGGCGCAAATAGTTTCTGAGTCGTGCGAGAACAGTTTCTGAATCGGGAGAATCGGAGAAAACTTTCTGAATCGCGAGAGCATAGTTTGTGAATCGGGCGAAATAGTTTCTGAATCGGGCGGAATAGTTTCTGAATCGGGCGAAATGGTTTCTGAATCGGGCTCCGGAGTAGTTGCTGAATCGGCCGAAATAGTTTCTGAATCGGATCGGGCGAAATAGTTTTCTGAATCGGGCTCCAGAGTAGTTTCTGAATCGGGCGAGATAGTTTCTGAATCGGGCGAAATAGTTTCTGAATCGGGCGAAATAGTTTCTGAATCGTAGTTTCTGAATCGCGGGTAGTTTCTAAATCGGTCGACGTCCGAAATAGATGGCCCTGGTAGATGATTGAACCACCAGGTAAACCAGGGCCATCTATTTTCCTAGCAAAACGACCAAGAAGGACACCTATAGCTCAAACTCCAAACCCCGCGATGCCCCATTTTGCCCCTGACCCCATGTCTCCTCTCGTGCAGCTCATCCGCTTCTTCCAGCAGCCCCTCAGGGCGGTTTTCCTTGAACCATACTTAACTTTCAATCAAAACCAACGGGAAAACAAAAAAGACCCTACAAAATGGTTTGGTGGCGTCAATACGAAAAACTGCCACCCCATGTCTGAGAACACTTTGGCCACGCACATCTGCTCGCAAGTTTCCGCAAGAAAATAGACAGCAACCTTTCAAATGAAAGAAGCTAAGCGAGAATAGACGGGAACCCTGAAAACAGAGGTGGCCTTTTGCAAAAATGGATGGAAACAGCTATCAAAAGGACCACCTATGCCTACAAACATCCAGCGTTCCTCATTTCGAACCAAACACCTTCCGAATGCAACCCATCTATTGCTATCCCAAACAAACCGATCGAAAGGGACACCTATGCCTAAAACATCAAGTGTTCCCTATGTCTAACCAAACACCCAGGACACCGTTCCCTTCAATTCTTTCACACAAACCACCCAGCGGTTTGTCCAACCAGTGAAGCACGGTTTCCGCGGGCGCGGTTTCCGCGCGCCTCATCGGCGCCGAAACGCTGGCCGTCCGCCAGCAGCCGTGCCAGCTGATGCACCTCGAGCCAACGGCCGTGCCGGTTTGTGGCCTGGAAAAAGGGCCGGTCTTTGGCCAATGGGGCTGCTTCAAGAGAACGAAGCAGCGAAAAAATCGCCTGGTAAAACAAAGGGAACACGCATACCACAAATGATGGAAGTGCTAAACAGCCTGGCATGGTCCGGCGACTTGGCAGGTGTCCTTCTGGGCCTCTGTGACACGAAACAGCCGAGCGGCTGACCATGACACACGCATCTGGAGGGAAGGACCCTGACACACGCATGGGGTGTATCTCTGGAGCAAATCCTTCGAGTTCCACGGCACGAGAGACTCGGTCCCGCCTGGACGATGTCCTTGAGAATGCTGTCGGACACTGCTCCAATGCCTCGGGCCATCTGCTTTCGAAACTCACGGCTGGCCGCCCTCTCCGCGATCAGTCAAGGCGGTCGGACGGACCGCAAAGTGCCCCATGAAAACACGGCTTGACCCGATCGGAAAACGGATTGCATCCTCTGAAAGCAAGGCGAAAAAGGGGGGGTCAACACACGACAACCAAAACTACAGTAACCAAAGATACCAACACAACAAACAAGACACCACCAAAGCCAAGCCATGCAGGAAAGAAACAAAAAAAGAATGAAGCCCCAAAGTCTCTGCCTACGATTTTGAGAGTCCGGGCACACCTCCTCCACTTGCTGCATGAGCTTCTGCAAGCCCTCTTCCACCTCACATGACATGTGGGGGTTGATCAAAAGGTCCGGTAAGCATGTGATGACCATTGGTTGGCAAACCGCCAAAAGAGAAAACGCATGGGAACAAGTTACGCATGGTCAAACTGGGGGCCTTTAAGGGAATACTGATCAACCCCCATATCTTGAGTACCCAAACCTTCACAATCTTGCAAGTGGGAACCCGCTGATGTCAAGGAGACCGACCTCAACCCGAATTGATGTTCAACCAGGATCATTGATCAACCCTTGTTTCTTCTTGCTCACTCCCCCCGTCGTTTCACCCATCCAGACCGCGCGCGTCCGCGCGCGAAGCCCGGCCTTCAGCCGCGGACGGTGCGTGTTCTCCAAGGCTACGAGCCTTCGCTCAAAGGCCGCGATGTCATCTGTGGGCACCTGGTTGGCTCGCCGCATTCCGAGCCCGGGAAAAGAAGCCGAGCACCAAAATACGAAACCCACATCGTATAAATAAATATATATATATATATATATGCATGCATGTATGCATATATTATATATATATATATGCATATATATATATATACCTACATATATATATTTTACATAATTGACATATGTATATATATATATATACATATGTCAATTATGTATAATATATATATATATATGTGTAGGTATGAAAATAGGTGTATATGCATATATATATATATATATCTATTCAGAGAGAGAGAGAGAGAGAGGTTTGTTGATCAGTGATCAGAGTTGAGCATCCGAGTTGGGTCAACCCAGTAAGGTCGCGAGGTTCGTCCCCATACGGGGCTGTCCTAGAAGCACATTCAGGGCGGGAGGGGCCCATGATGGTAAATACAACACCCAGAGAAGTGTGCCAGACATATCGAGCGCTCGGGCTGGGCTGCAAATTTGGAGCTTCTGTTCTCAATTCCTGCAACTCTTTGGTTGCCGTTTCCTGACTTGGAAACTGGGCTTTTAGGTTCTGAACCCCAAATATCAGTTGCTCGGCCCGAGCAGTGAAATCTAGAATTCCAGTTGCCTTACTACGGACTTAGCTTGGAAGATAAATCCAAGTTATAGCTGACGTCAGTCCACGCAAGATGCAGGTACCCCGTGTTGCGTGTTTGTTTTCGGTCCTGCCCCAAAGCCTGCCCCATATGAAATGGACGCATATCCTGCCACGTTCGGCCATGCGATCAAAGAAGCGGCAGCTCTGCCTGCCAAGCCAACCCCATCCCGCAAACAAGCCGAGCTCGCCCGCGTCTGCTTAGCTTCCGCCAGGGCCTGCAGGAACTGCCTCTATCTTTGTCCAAAGCCCAGGACTGCCTCCTCAAACTCGAAATCGTGGCTTCCAACTCTTGCTGGAAGTCAAGGCCCCCCAGCCAAAAACACAAAAATATGATGGACACCCTATCACGTTTCTCTTCACGCGCCCAGCAGAAGGGGCCACCAGGTCCATGGAATGCTCCCATTTCGCCTTTTGAGCCGCATCCAGCAACTTCCCATCCGGGCTTTGCTCGGCCTGTCAGCAGAAATGTGGATGCCGCAAACTGTTCACAAAATCTTTTGGGGGAAAGATGCCCTAAAACATCTTCTTCAAAGCCTCCAATTTCCTGCCCCTCATTGGTTGACACATGTGGCTGTGGGTCAAAATTAGGCCCAAAATGGGTTGCCCTGGCAAATGGAAACATGGACGAAAACCTGCGGTCCAATTCCTGGTACTTTAATTTTGACCCATACCCATGTCCACGTCCTGACGTGCGCTTCTCGCGACAGCGCTTTTGGCCTTCTCAATGGCGCGGCGCAACAGCTTGCTCCTGGAAGGGAAGGCTCGATCGAATCCAGCTGATCGCTTAAACCGCCTGCCACAAAGCCAACCGGAATGGCTTTTCTTTCGACCCCTTTCAACCAACCCATTGATCCGGACGCGCGAATTCATATGACAAGAGTGTGTATGTAGGTTCAAGGGTGAAAGCGTCAAGCGAGAAGAGCCCCGTATTTATATACGGGGAATTATCGAACGATGCTTCAAGTGTGATGGCCCGTGTGGGGAACCCCCTGAATCGTCGATGTTCCCCTCCACGTGTTTGTTCTCACAGTGCACAAAGTAAAACGAAGACATCGTCCTACACGTATAATATATATATATATATTATACAGATATACATACATGCATACATCCAGACTACAAACAAGCCCCCACACACGTACACACAAGGCATTCACAAACAAGGGAACCTCTTGCCGCATTCGTTCAAGGCCAACCCTTCGAAACCTCCAGAAGCCGCCGACACTTTGGTCGCTTAGGCCGGCGCTGTCTCGCTTGCATGGCTGCCAGCTTCCCGGAGACGTCCTCAAGTGAGAAGGCGAAAACCAAAGCCGAGGGTCAATGAAGTGGTCGAGGGTGCCCTGCTTAAACTCCTGAACTGTGGGCCAGGGGAGGAGAGGACAAATGGAGGATAGGCATGGTTTTCGGGGAGTTTCTGCTTGTGGAAATTAAAAAGGGTAACACAAGGACCACGGCAATGTTCATGGCATGGGAAATAACGTGTTACCAAGGTCTTTTGGCTTGGTGAATCCTTGTAAAGCTGAGTTTGACAGCTGCCGCAAATTGTCCACGCCTCAAACATAAGCAAACTCATCAAACTTCGAGAAAGTGAGGCGAAACCCAACAAAACCAGAGCCGAAAACATGTGAGTCTTAAATACCCCACCAGCACAAGACCTACGCCAGGGCAGCAAGCCGCAGAGTCTCAACAGATAGTTCACCCCCGAGGGCCAGGATTCTAAGGGTTGATCCCCCATTCTTTCCAACCATCGTTCTTTTCGAAAACCGGCCGTTTCCCCTGGGTTTTTGGAGGTTTCAAGAAAGAAGGATCCCTGGAAGGAATGGGGAAGGTAGCACTAGAAGGATGGTCCCTTTCTGCCCAATCCCGCCACCCCCTGCTTTCGCTGTCAATTGTCAACTCCGGATGCTCAGATCGACGGAGAATATCTGTCTTGTGAAACAAATCCCGTGCATTTGTTGCCACGGTGCCGCTCCCAAAGGGGAAGGAAGACAGGTTCCGATGTTATTGGCAAACACTCTCAAACACGCAACCCCTCTCACGCGGAACAACCGAAACAAGCAAACAGGCTGCACCTACTACAGCCCACCTAGACACACAAACAAGATGCAACTACAACCCACCTAAACCAAAGGATGCACCTGCTACAACCCACCTCAAATCCTTCAAAAATGATAGACATTAATAATAATAATGATAATAATAATAATAAACATAATCATAAACATAATAATACTAAGTGTTAAAAAAGCAGAAGAAAAAAAGAAGAAAAAAAGACGAGGCCACTCCAAGCCGGAGGCCTCCCTGGGGCCTCCGGCCACGCGGCTTTTCACCGTGGACGTGCTGGTGAAGGCCTTCTGCGTGCGCTCCTCCACCTGCCAAGAACCATGGAAAACGGCCACCGAAAAGCCGACAACCAGTTTGCCAGCAAGAAAGTTAAGCCCACAAGAACTGCCTTGAAAAAGGTTTGCCAACTACAAAGCTACGCCAACAAGAAAGCTAGGCCAAAAAACAACCGGTTTGGGAAAGAAGTGTGCCAACAAAGCTAAGCAAAAAAGACAACCACAAGAAATGTGACACAAAATCATAAAGCCGCTCTGGGGGGTCCTTTGAGCAAATACGCCAACCAAGCAGCAACGACTCAAGGAAGAAAAAGCACAGGCCTCCAGCTCGTCCAGCAGCGCCCGCACCGAGGGCGGCACCGCGAGGTCCAGGGCAGACGCCTTGCGCAGGGACAGTCCTAGAGGGAGGGAGGGAGGGAGGGAGGGAGGGAGGGAGGGAGGGAGGGAGGGAGGGAGGGAGGGAGGAGGGAGGGAGGGAGGGAGGGAGGGGAGGAGGGAGGGAGGGAGGAGAGGGAGGGGAGGGGAGGGAGGGAGGGAGGGAGGAGGAGGGGAGGGAGGGAGGGAGGGAGGGAGGGAGGGAGGGAGAAGAGAAGAGACCCCCCTCAAATTGATCATGGACTGGATCTTCCACAAGCCCAAGATTGACCATCATGGACTGCTGGTTTTGACCGAACCTCACATATCCCCCTGTCATTAATCCCACCGAAAGGTGATGCTTTCCAGGGAAGTATAGGAGCCCCGGGCTCACTGCCCGTGGCGTCCCGGCTGTCCGCAACCCTTTCCTTCTGTTTGAAGGAAGGTAATGAAGGTGGTTTGGTGGCAATAGCTGAGTGTTTGGCGACGCGTCAGACACCAGTTTCTCTCGCATGCAACGCATGCCAACTCAAGCAACATAACACGAGGATGCCTATCAAGCTAAGCGATCATCGCATAATGGAAGCGGAGGCCCGTTCCCAAAAGGACAGTTAGGATCCACAAATGTTCACTGTTTTATATGAATCATAACCACACACTTGAACTGCAAAACGCGATCTACCAAAAAGTCAATTCCTCTCGGAACCCCGCGAATTCAAGTTCGCATTTGAGGCCTGGATGCCCCTAGTCGGCAATCCGGAATGCGTAGAGGTTTGGCATTTGGCACCAGGGCACTGGCAGCCACAGGTGTGACAGATTCCCCCGGCCTCAATCATGAGCTGGCGTAGCCGGGGGGCATCTGATTGCTCGCCCGCAGCCGCCAGCTCTTGCAGCAACCTGCGAAGCAGGCCCGCTTCCCCTTGCTTGTTCGGAGCAAGGAATGCAAATATGACGCGCTTAGGAACACGCAACATGGTGAACCCCAATCCATGCAACCTGACGGAACCCCGTTTACCCACCTACACTAAGCGTCCTCTCGCATAAACACGTTGGCGCTCTGTTGCGCTGGCATAACATACGCCGCCGTAAAACTCTTTGGGCGCATACGTCAAGAGACTGTTTGCGGCTGCGCAATCCTGGTGAAACACATCCAATGCCCAACTGATGTCGTCATGTCTGACTTCCGTGGCAAACCTTCTCGCTTCCGTGGCAAACCTCTGCGCAACAGACCCAGAACTCAAAAACTGCCAAAGCCATGGCTACCAACCATCAGGAAGCTCTTCTTGGGGTGTCCACGGTTGCAAGCACCTGTCCCTTTTCTTTGGATTGCGGCCCACATTTTCGAGAATGACACAACCAGATTCAGAGCGCAGATTAACCTCATACGTTGGCCGTGCGCATCTTGGAACCCTTGAACAGCGCTCCCTTTCCTCCCTCCCGCTCCAGCTCAACATGAAACAGTTTTCAAAAGGGGGGAAACGGCGCAAGCGTGCGCCTTCTCGAAGGAACTGCAGGGACCTTCTTCAGTATGTGCACGGCACATGCGGAAACTTCGTGCCCAAATTCGCCACGCCCATCACACACCAAAATCATGGCGCACCACTCATCACAGCTTATCCTTCCCTGCGGTGAGTCCACGGACATGGGGAGCCACCTTCCACACGAAGCTGGACGCCTGGTCCCTCACAATTCTTTGTGACCAAAACCAAATTGTCTCAGAAGTCCCGCTGGGCTGCTTCTCGACACGCGTTGAGGGGCATCCAGGCTACGAGACCTCGCCCACGCGGATGTTCTCTTCCAGAGCGCGTGAACACAACTCCTGTTCGCCTCAGCTTCGCCTCAGCTTTTTGTCATGCCGTCCAGTCTCTTTCCCTGTCTTTGTCTCTCTGAGTGCTCACGCTTCGGAGCCTCGAACCATCGGCAACGCTTGAAGATCCAGAGGTCGATGGCACTCTTTCAGTCGGGTTCCGACTCCAGCTCCTCCTCTACAGCCTTTGGCTTCACCATTTTGCCAGGCGCTCCGTACATTCTTGGCGCATTGGAGTGGAACGAAGGGCAAGGGCGGTGGTGCAGAATGGGAACCAAGTTAGGGGCCCATGCGCGTGCCCAGCCTGGGGCAATGGAAACCAGTCTCGTTCTTTATCACAGGCAATCACGGCTGCCTACGATTTGAGGACTGCTGCCAATGATTGGCATTTAAGCTCTCGCTGACATCCCTGGCTGGGAGAAGAAAAAAAACGCAGTCTTGGGTCGCCATCCACGAATCGACCGCGGCAAATCGAATCGAACGGGGCACCAGGACTGCTGCTGCTCCTTCTCGGCTTGCCTGCGCCGGCGAGGGAATCATTCAATTCAGACCATGCGGGGAATCCACATGCAAAAAAAAGGGCCATGCGTCTGTCAGCTAAATCGGTTGTAGCAAGTGTCCAGCGTCTGAGCTTACCCGCCTTGACGCAGAAGACAATAATGCTAAAAGTGAGTGGGCTTGCTGAAGCTCTTAGCTGCCCGCAGCAATGTGCCGCTAAGGAAAACCTACGCCATGGGCAAATCTGTACTGTACCAAAATGTGTGGCAAGGAGCGCATAGCCACCAGCTGACCCTCCGCCTACGCTCCACAAAACGAAGCAGTCCGGAAAACAAGACTGTTCGGTTGGCACTCTTCTTGCTAGTGCGACGTCTCTCTGACAGTCAAACTCGAACAAGGAAGGCACTGGCCATTTGCATGTGTTTTGGAGACTCCCGAATATTCGAGTACCACTATCAGATCGGTCTCAAAAAAAAAACAATCCATCAATGCGGCACCTCTGAGCCAAGCCAGGCAGCGTGTTTCCGTTGACCAAATTCAATACAAACACTGATATTTCTCTACAAAGCTTACTTGGTTGACGTCGAAGGGGAGCAAAAATTTAAATTTTAGCAGCAACACCAAAAAAGACTATCAGACACATGCTAAGTTGGTTCATTGGCAAACGGCAAACAGGCAGCTTCCCACATTCCACTCCCAATCGTTTCAGAATCCTTCAATGAAATGGCTGTTTTTGACTCGCTAAACATCTCAAAAACACAGGTTCCCCAACAAGAGAGAAAAGGATCCGTCAAAATAAAACATATAAAAACACTGTTTGACACACGAGAGCGTGCTGTTCTTGTTGCTGGCCCATCCGGCAACTTCAAATTATGCTTCTTTTCTTACATGGGTTGATGTTGCACGTTTGAAGCTACCCCCCCTTTCACCCAAAAACCCCAAAAGGGACCACTTGCACTATTGAAGCTACCCCTTTCACCGGAGAAAAAAAAAAAAAAAAAAACGGACCACCGCGATCCGCATCCATTTCAGGAGCTCACCCCACAACCCCACTGGCGCCCCGACGTGTCGTCCCCACTTCGGGGAGAGTTCGCAGCGTCGGTTCGAAGCGCACCCCGCCTGATGAGGTGCTCCGCGACCTCCCCGAGCCGCTGCCGGGTCTCGGCCCCCGCCAAGTCCTCCGCGCGTTGCACGCGCGCGCCTGGCGCCTCGCTTTGGGAGCCTCTCTGTGAGGATCTTGACGGAAGGAATTTGTGAGGAGGAGGATGGCTCTCTGTGATGGCTCAGTTTGGAAGTGATTGGAGGATGTAAAAACAGCTCGGCGTCCGAGTCTTGGCAGAAAAGAGCAACTCGGCTGCGCCCCTGAAACCTTGTCTTGACAATGTCACATGTGCGATGTTCTTGGAGTGCATGCCAGGTGTTAGATGGATTTGATTCGCCCCTGATCCCAACAAACAACTGGGTTTGGTTGTTTCTGGGTTTGTTTGTTTTGTTTTTTTAGTTTATTTCTTCTCGGGTGTAGGAGAGGCATAATTACCTGTGTTGGACGGTTTTGAAAGGCAAACAAACAGAAACCCCGCTTTTGGGGGGGGGGGGCTTCCCCTGTTCCCATCCCAAGCACTCCGCTCTGGGCAGCGTTGCCCCGTCCTTCTGCTCCAGGAGGATCTCCTTCAACCTGACGAAAAACGCGCGAGCCACAGGAAGACCAAAGCGCGAGCCGAAGACGGGGCGGAAACATGGCGACAAGAGGCAAGAGAGCAGACCCATCTGGACACATGAGTCATCTAGTCCGAAGAACAAGGGGGTCACGCCTGCTGGTATTCTCAGGGTGCAGTGAACCCCAAACCAAATGGGAGACGTGAGGGTGAAGCTCAAGATGCGCCGAGCAAAAATTTAGCAGAACGCTCACATTCAAGGACACCCCTCGTCCCAAATTCAAACATCGGCCATCTGCCCATGCTCAGGTACCTCAAAGCAAGGGAGCCGGACATAGTATCAGAAAGATCTGATTGGCCTTTGTCCAAACAAAAAGGGGTCAGCTTGGGGTTGGTGAAGGGTTGCTGTCCAACTCTCTTCACGGGAGCAGTTGAGAAATCTGAGGCATCGGTACTGTGGATACTGTCCCATTGCGAGTAGACCAGCCATGGTGGATCTCAACAAAAACATTGCAGCAAGGGAACAAGGGATCCCCTAATTTCTACCGTAACACAGTAACACACACGCAAGTTGTTGCTGTGCTTGATTTGGCCACCCCCAAACTCCCTAAAGGTCGCGCACTCAGTGCTCCCAGACCCGGATTCGATCGTTCGGTCGTAATACAGTAACTTACCAGGCTTTTGTGGCTGGGTGTGGTTCATTCGCTTGCAAAAACTTAGGGCATCCGTACAGAACCGGCCACAGCTCCGGGCCCGCGGCTGGCTGGCATCTTGCATCGCTATCAGACCTGCCACATGGATGTCCAAGGTGACGCGCCATGTCCACTCACGGGCTTCCGAAAAACTTGGAGAGTAGAAGGCTCTATGCCCGCCTTCCAGCTTCTTGGCGGTGGACCGCTCAACCTACCGATGGAACAGGACACAGGCACCCCTTTGGCTCAAGCTCGGCAGGCCTTTTGTGCTTTCAAGGGTGCACTTTCGGGGCTGAAGGGAAACCAAAGGGATACCACTCAGTTCACCTTTCTGGGCTTCCCCCCTTAAAACGACGAGAAGCAGCCAATCTGCACCGAACTCTCCGGCCTTCCGCTGCTCCTCCACACCTCGCATCGATTCACAGCCCAACCGGCAGCCAACCCAACCAGGGAGACATCCTGTTTCGAAACGGGAAGCAAAGGCCAGCGGCTCGTTGGAACCAAAGTCCATTGAACTGCCACAAGCTCGCGGCTGGGCTGTAAGTGGGTGTGGCAGAAATAACAAGGTACCCAAGCTGACACGTATATGACGACAAGACCAAAACCTTCGGAACCCCGGCTGCTACATTTTGAGCTATCACCCAAGTGGCCATGGGTCAAAATCCCGTTCCCCCAGTGAACATTCCAAGCCCCACTAAAATAGGTGCACCTGCTCCAACATGGTACCATTGGTTTTGACCCACAGCCAAGTGAGCGGACCGAAGCACGTGACATGAGCGAGGCTCGCACTCTCGGCCACATCCCGGGCATCCGCCACGGCCTCAAGAGGGACCCCAGCCAGCTCCGCCTCGCGCGACGGCCAGACTGCATTGACCGAGGGCTGCTTGCTTTGCGCGTTGGCCTATGTTGGTGTATCTTGGTGTATCTTGGTGTGTGTTAGTGTAGGTTGGTGCATGTTAGTGCCTGACTGCCCTACGGCAATAAACACACGAAATAACGTAAAAAAAAGATCCCCAGCATGGAAGCTCAACAAACGACAAAGGACAATGCTTGTTTGTCCACAGAATGCTTTCAGAGCTCTTCACCATGGGCCTTGGTTGGCTGAACTGTTTTGCACCAGGATTGAGCCCAGCGGTGGATTGAGCCCGAGAGGCTGGTTGATTCACTGGTGCCAGATTCAGCTAAAGATTCGGCTAAAGGTAACTAGATGATGAACCAGTGCACACAACCAATGCGGACAAGCTCCGAACCCCACCGCCCAGATTAACAAAGCAAACAGAGAAGCCAGTGCCAGCATGCCTTACTTTGTGCAGGGCAGTGCCTGCATGTTGCACAACTCGTGGTTGAAGCACAAACAATAGTAGTTCAGCCATCACTAGTCGTGGGCCTCTTCTGCCCTCATACCAGCTGGCAGTCAGGAGGTCTATCATGTGTTTATCAACAAGAACATGAACGAGTGTAAGAAATTCCACCAGACAGTGCCCGGTAGCTTGTTCACCGGCACAAGACCAAAAGCAATGCTCTTGAGTCTTTCAATGCACTCCAAGCAGTACAGGACTGAGGCACTGGAGGTTCCACCTGTTCATGCTCCGTTTGTTACCTGAGAATCATGCTTGCTGCTTTGCGAAATGCATAGGAAGGCATGTCAACATCGCCAATTCGCGCTCGAGACCCACCCAGATTGCTCGATTGTGTTGTTTTGTGTGCCTTTTCCACAGAACCAAACCTTGCGTGAGCGGTTCAAGTCACCTGCGTTCCCGAACCATCCATACCAAACAAAGCGTGGCCAGAAACCATCCAGCCCTCCCCGACCAATGCCATCCTCCGAGATGGCCCGGCGGAGTTGTTTCAGAGTCGCCTCCTGAGCCAAGGCGGTGTCACGGACGTCATGACAAAGATCCAGTTGCTACCCATCCCAGAAATCCCAGTCAACACTCAAAATGTGGCATCCATGGTTGAACAACCTGTACACGCCCGTGCGATTCTGCATTGAAGGGACAAGTATCTGGGGGCTGGTCAAAAGATCGTTTACATGGGATGATCATTGGGGAAAACCACTAAAGGACGTCCCACTAAATCAGAAAAGTTACCCATTGTCGTTCGGGGGCTCGCATATTGATCAACCCCCATATGCCTGAAGCCCTCACAAACAAGTGTCTTGAGCATGGCACATGCACCCAAAAAGCTCAACAAGGAATGACCCAACACCCCGACATGGTATACCCTTGTGTGGCGTCATGCTCACGGCGGGGAGTCTTAACAAGGTTGCCTAAAGTCCCTATTAAAACAAAGAAATCAATCACAAAGAAGGATCCCTCCCAGGGTTCTATTTTTTGACCACCTGCAAATACACTTAAACCCAGGGGTCATTGTGGTAGTCAAAAAGTGGAACCCTGATCCCTCCAAACCTCAGGTCAAAGAGACTTTTGACCAATAAGGCGTCCACACACCTCCTTTGCAGCATGCCGACAGGAAAACAGGAACCCAGCCTGTCTTTGGCGCACACTCGCCTCGTGCGCACCCTGGCATGGGGCTCTGTTCGGCTGAATTGACATTGTCCTGGGTAACCTATGAGGCTGCTACTGTCAAGACTCGCTGTTGCAGCTCCGGAGCCAGGGCAGTACAGGGGGCACTTCTTTCCATCTCACCAGGCCGCCCCACTGCAAAGCCTGAAAAGGACACCACCTGGTGGAGTTGAGTCTACTGCCGAGAAACGGCTCGACGGCGAGCCTCTGAACACGTCGTAGAGGTCGAGTGCCTCCGATCGAGGGGTCAGAGCCAGCACAAGCCAAGTCGTCCCAGTTGGCCGAAGGGACTGCGTTGGGGATGGATTGCAACTCAAGAAGCCAACCAGCCTTTCGCAAAAGTCCCTTGTATAGACAAAAGACCAAGTAATTTAAGGGAATTGACATGCTTCGGCTGTAAAAACTATTCATTTGGCACCCAGGATAGAAAAAACAACATACAGTGATGTATCATAACTATGTTTTGCAGGCATGCTGTCCCATGCTATGCTGCAGCTGCTTTGTTGTGTGCTCTAACCGCTAACCGCCCGTTGACTTTTGCATACTTCACCCAATGAAACCAGGCTCGCACACTCACACCTCCTTCCCCCCCCCCCCGGCCTCCTCTCAAAAAAGCAAACAAGCAAACACAATAAACTATGCAGAAGACACTGCAACCAGTCGTTGCTCCCTTGCTTAAAGCTTCCGCTTCTAGTGGGAGGTGCCATAAACCCCCTAAGACTTTAAAGTCTATTAATCTCCAGGACTTTTCCAACGCGTTGCAGTGCAAGCAAAAAGGTCTGTAGCAAATGCGGCTTTCCAGCTTGCTCCACTTGTGGAGTCTGCTCCAGCCGAGAATTACGAGATCTCCCTTGATCTCAGAGATGGGCAATGCCGTTGACAACTGTTGTGCCAGGTCAACGACACGAGCTTCACGCTCTCATGCTCCGCAGTTTAAGAGAGACTTCGTCCCACATTTGAAATCAGCCTTCGGCTCCTCGATCTTCTCCTCCGTGGGTACCAGGACGGCCTCGCGCATGACCTTGGCCTCGCCGTCGCAGCCGTCACGGAGCTTCGTGAGCCAAGTGTACAGCCCACCCAGCAGAGGGGGACCCACCAGAGCCCCCCCGAGCATCAGGAGACCTGTCACCAAGGGGTGGTGCCAATCGATCTGCTTGTAGATGGGGCACTCGTTCAAGGGGTACTCCTCGCAGGGCGCCGAATCATCCGTGCCGATCCTCGGTTGCTTTCTGCTCCCCTGCTAAAAGTGAATAACTTTTAGTGGTTTAATATGAAAAACCCGACTTAGTTGGCAAAAAGTTAAAGTCCTAACATCCCTTGGCCAAATGCAGCAAAGGATCTTCAGGAGGTAATCCAGCAGCGTCCAAGTCCCATAGGTCCCCCCGTAGACCAACACCCAGCCGATCTTGTTCCAGGCATAGGGCCACCTCCCCAGGAAGAAGCTCAGGTGGATCACGATCACGTCCCCTCCATGGCAGGCCGCACTCACATAGGGCGGCGGCAGGTATGGCGATAAAGCCCAGTAGAGCCCAGAAGAGAGCAGACAGGTGGGCAAGACCATGCACTTGAAAGCCATGTGGACTTTCACGATTGCTGGGACGTATGTGGCACGGATGCCGTTCTCAAGCAGGATGTAACCCCAAAAGGAGGCTAAGAAGTAGAGAATCTCCTGGATGACTTCGGTAGTTAGGGTCCAGCGCGTCAGGTAGATGAAGTACATCCAGTGTTCCTCTCCCCAGTACTCATTCAAATGGGCAATGAAATGCCCAATGAACAAAAGCACAACGAAACCTCTAAACGCCAACCAGCTTCTGTTGCTCATGTAGGGTGAGGTAGAATAAGCCTTCGGCCAGTCGGCAGGGTCCCACGGCGCGACATCCAGCGAAAAATAGTCCATTGACTTGAAGAACGGCTGGGGCAAATGTCGCTTTCGACTTGCCTCTAAAGTCGCTTTTCGACTTGTCTGAGTTCAAATTCCCTTGAGCCAGGGTATTGCTGGCAGGCGCAAAGTGAGTCACACTCAAATCCCGGCACTACCAGGGCCTACCCAACCCCATGTAACACGTCAAAGGCGTGAATCTCTGCATCTTTTGGGAATTTTCCTCAACCTGACGGGATTTCGATCGCAGTGAAAGACTTTCACCCCACCCCCCTCCCTCTCCCCCCCGCCCCCTCGGACACCACGGAGCCCCACAAGGCCCCCCGGCCCCGCGAGGTCCGGCGGCAAGGCCCGCAGCTGCGCCGAGATCTCCGAGAGCTGGCGGCTGAGCCGCGCCATCTCCACCTCCGCACCTCGGCCATCGCTTGAGAGATGTGGAGATGCATGTCGGAAAATATGTGGAAAAACCCGGCGATCGCCAAAACCCATTTAATAAACTTGGAAAAGATGTGCAAGACATGTGCGCGCCAACATGCAGATGTCGATATTTGGGAATATACTGTGTATATATACATATATATATATATTATGTATATACATACATATGTATACATATATATATATATACCTATGACGGTTATGTTTTGAATTATATATCTCCAGTTCATCTGTATTCCAAATGCACAGTGTTCTTCTAGACTTGGCTTCTTGAATTCCATACTTGTTTCCATGCAGATTTGAATCTGAACGTGTTTGTACACAGCGCCTGGCCAGATTATGGTCTCTGCGGGCATTCCACATTGAGTTAGCCATGATATAAATGTTTACTGCAGCTTCTTGTATTCTACTCTTACAAAGTACAAAACAACATGTGTGTGTGTGTGTGTGTGTGTTTTCGTGTTATTGTTTGATATATATATATATACACTGGCCAAACAAAAACTGCGCATCTTGAAGGTCAGAGCGATGACAACCCTTTCCCCTTAGAATCCTTCATGAAGAGACGTACGGGGTACGCGCGGTCAATTTTGGACCCGGGAAGCCTTTTACTATAAATTTAAAACAGGGTGATAATTGACCGTCCCACGCCTGCCACACAAAACGCACTTGTTGATTCGATCCGCCGCTGACCTGATAGTATCTTTTCAACACAGCCAAGAAGCATAAACTTTTGTCTGACTGAAGTATATATATATATATTATAGAGACATGCAAGCATCAGGAAAAACAAAACAAAACTCCCGGGGAGAATATTTGGTTTCAGCAGAAATTGTTTTGGATTTTTTTGGCGTCCTTGCTTTTCTTTTTTTTGGCTTTCCAGCTGTTTTTGTGTTGACATTGTCCATCGCCTGGCAACATGCCTTCCACCGTCCGCCGATGCAGAAGCACCACACCCGAGCGACCGAGACTCTGGGTTCATTGCCATCCCGTGGGCTCTATTGCCTCCCTTTAAGGGGCAGGCAAATTACAAGAAACAACCTGCTTGTCTTTTTTTGCTAAATTATGTTTGTGAATTGTCCGTAAAGCATACTTGGGAAGGAATTCCCATTTCATGTCTAGTTCAAAATTAAAGTAATATTTGAAATAGTTGGAAGAAGCAACCAGCTTGTCTTTCTTTACTACAGTATCTTGAAATGCCAGCCAAATTCTACTCAAATCCTACTTGGAAAATAACTCCCCGTTCATGTAAATAATAATAATAAACGAATCCTAATTGAAGGCAAATTACAACTTGCAAACCAATAGAACTGAAAGTGCATTGTTCTTGAGTCTCTATTGGCTTCCCTCGAGTTTTCATTTGGTGAAAGGAACACGTGCAGACCCTATGTCCGGAAGTGAAAAAAAAATGGACAAGAATGAGTTTCAGCACTGCAGAATTGATGGGTCTCGACAGACCAGGCAGGGGGGGGGCTGGGCTCAGCAGTTGTGCTTGGTTGCTTTCTGGAAAAAGCTCAAGTTGTGTCTTTTTTTGGGTTTTGCATTGCTTGGAAAAAGTGCAAAAATCGCATGACAACTCGAGTTCTCCAAAAACAAAAACAACAAAAACAACAAAACGATCAAAAAAGAAGAAGAGAAAACAAAACTAAGGGGGGAGCAAACAAAAGACAAAATGCCCCCCATGGCTCCAGGTCCTGAGCCGTACCCACATGGGGGGTCTGTCATATTGCGTTTTGCTTTTGCGCTTCAGGGCAGTAGGGTCTGCGGCTCTGTTTTGTTGTTGTTTTTTGGAAACTCGAGTGGTTTTGCACGGGACATAGGGTCTGCAGTTGTGTGTATGTGTGCGTGTGTGTGTTTGCGCGTGGTTTTTTGTTTTTGATGTTGTTTTTCTCGAGTTGTTTTGTACCGGACATAGGGTCTGCAGTGTGTTGTTCGGAAAGCTCCGGTGTGTTTATTGTGTAATTGCAGAATGTTGCAGCAGACGATGGCATGCATTTTGGAAAACCAAAGAAATGGTGGAGTCAGATTTTGCAGGATTTCGAACTGCGAAATGCGGCCCCCCGCCCAACCAACCCTTCTGTATAAGTTTGTGTGCGCGTATGTGTTTGCATGTGTGTACCTATATATGGTCATATACATGATCATGTGATGTGAATTGTGTGAATAGTGCGTATATCCATTGTAAATAGGCTACACTAATATGTATACCGCTGGATCTTATTCAGGCCTTCAAAAGCAAAAGTCGTCCGAAAGTTACCGCTGTGTGAATGGGTTCACTCACTTGCACCAAAACAGGTTCAGTGAGTACAGAACTAAGCCTCATGATAGAGCACCAAAAAGCTCAGATTCTCAAATGCAGACGTTTTGCGTCAAAACCCAAAGCAGAAACTTTGCTCCATCTCCAAGAAGACGGAGCACTGCCAGAATTTGGGCCCACCGCCTTGGGCCCCTCGCGCTCGGCCCGGCCATTCTTTCGCCGCCACTTCGACAGCACATGCCTGCCTCGCACCTTGGCACAGAAAGTCACGCGGAGTTGGGGGGATTGGGGGGCCGGCGTGAAAATCGCAGGGTTCCCATATTCTGTTCGGTTTTTCACATCATCTTTTTGGTTGCCAACTTATTTAGCGAGTGTCCTTGGGTGATGTTAGGCGAACATTCTGGCAACTTGCCGAAATGCACGAGAAGTTGGAACTTTGGGATGACAAACATCGGGTGTTGCTCACAAGAATTTATTCTGCCAGAAAGGTGCCCTTTCAAGTTGATCCAAGCACAACTGACACATCCCAGCCATCCTCTCAGAACTCCTCTCCTTGGCGGTGCTTCGGCCCCGCGCGCGCAGCTCGGCGTGGGCCCCGAGCTTCTGCGCGCCCTCGATGGCCTGCTCCAACCTCAGCGAGCCGAAGCTGACGCGACCCGCGCTTTTTCGCCCCCTTCCCTGAATGGTATGCGACTGTGAGGTGGGTGTGGGTCAAAACCAGTGGGATCCCATTTTGGGGTAGGTGCACCACCCGTTTTTGTTGTTTTTTTGTTTTTGTGGGGATTGGGATGTTCACTGGGGGTACGGGATTTGACCCATGGCCAGGTGGGACTTCGTGTGAAAGATCTGAACACGGTCTGGTTCAAAGGACGTGTCAGCTGCTCGAAGTCATGGTCACCGTCTGGTTTCCAGTTGAGGTCGCGTAGACCTGCCATGGTCGGCCTCGCCACATTGCCGAGGTCTGGGCACTGGCTCCGACCGCACCACACCGCGTTTTTTTTTTCCGGCACAGAGGACGCGAGGCCTGCGCCGTCGATCTCCGGCGGTCCCTTTGCACAAGTCGCGCGTTCCCCAAGAACAAAACAACACGCGCAGCTGCGACTGGTCAAGCAGATCGCGACCGCCGATCTGGTTCTGGTCGTGGGTCACAAGGTCTGGCACTGGCGGAAAGCGACCGGAAACAAGGGATGAGCTCTTGAAACAAGCGCTTGTGAAGGACAGAGCTGAAGATCCAGCCAAGTTGGTTCGGGAACACCTGCAATTGGGTGTGCCCTTATTGGAGTTGGTACCCGGGGTTTGTGGTGTTAGAGGGAGACGAAAAGGACAACCGGCGGTTTCGGGGTCCCCTCAAAGACTGCACACTCAATTGCTTGCACCACTGGAAAAAAGCGGCCGCACGCTGCATCTAGCACAAGCCGTCGCGTTCGCCGTGCCTTCCGTGGCCATCCCTAGATCGAACATTGACTTTCTTCAGTGCAGAGAAATGCCAAATGCAAAGTGCTGAGTTTCCCACGCGAACCTTCAATCAACTCATGCGCACGTCATATTCGTAACTTAGGAGCTGAGAAAGTGCTGCCGGGGCCGCCACTTCTCTAAATCTTCCTCGTTGCCGCTGGCTGCCCCCTGCACCCGCACCAACCAGACCCTGCCACGTCTCTGTCTGCTAGCGGACCAAACGAAGAAGGAAAGACACAGGTTTTTTTTGTTTTTTTAATAGTCAACTCAACTCAACTCAACCTGCACTTATGGTCAACTCTGCACTTATGGTCAACTCAACCTCGGCACCTGGAAACCAAAAAAGCTCCCCCCAAGCTGGTGATGGAGAAGGGGCATGAGTAACTTCTTCTCTTTTTTTGCTTCCCCTCTCTCGCCGAAAGCCACCCGCTCCCGCCTCCAGGGCAGCATGGAGGATGCAGCCGATCTCGGAGCGGCGCAAAATATTGGCCCCGGCTAAGGGCTGCGTTTGCATCGATTCCCTGTGGGTAAAGGGGATGACTAAACATGGGAGAACTGAGAGGGAAAGCTAAATGAGGATGTTTATATGCAAGTGATGGATGTTGAAACCAGCGGCCTTGTGCTGGCCACTGTTGACAGCGTGTCACAGGGTTTGGGTGGGCCCCGCAACCACTAGCATCGTTTCTTCATAAAAGGGATGACTGTGAAGGACAAGCCAATGTGGCAAAACGGTCGCATGTGGCCAACCAAACCGAGTAGTGTCAACATCAAGTGGCAGGATGTGTGCAACAACTGTGTGACAAGCACCTTTTATTTCCTGCGATTGTCAAGAATGAGAAAGCTGTGAGTCGCCAATCAAGAAGTTCGAAGGTAGCATCAAATTAAAACAGTTTGACTCTACATGAGCGTCCGACAAGAAGCATTCATCCACCATCAATTCGCTTCTGCCCAACGCCAGCCAAAGAGTCATCTTCCTCACATGGGCGCGGCGAGGTCTTGCGTGAACCACGGGCAATACTGTGGGTGGACGACACCCGTTCGCACCACTTTGAAACCAAGGGAAACCATGTCGGCAGGGTTTCTTGGCTCAGGTGGTGCCTAAGAGGATTTCGCAGCCATCCACAGTATTTCCCATGGCATGGCGGCCCAGGTGCTCACTCAATTCGATTGGGGCATCCGGCCAATTCCCTTCGGGAATCCAGCGTCACCTCCGCCTTGTCTGCCTCGCACAGCTGTTGCAGCTCTCCGAGACTACGCACGTAGACTATATCTTGCTTACTTGGGACTTCGCAGCCCCCATGAATCTGTTCAGAGCAACAGCTCCAGCACGCAAGCATGGCTGATCTAGCCAGCGAGGCAAACCCATGGTTTCTTGCAAGGGGTTTACATGGTAGCGAAGATCATGGTCAGCTTTGGAGCTTCAAATCGGCCAAGCGTTGAAGCATTGTGGTCTTTCACAGGCTGGAAAGCAGGTCTTGGGTTGCTGTTCCAGAACGCTGTCCAAACATGTAATACGCAATAACGCACATACGCAAGAAATCCTAGATCGGTAGTTTCGATTGAGCAGCGGCTCAATCTTGGGATTCCCACACTGTCTGCTAAGTTGACCCACACCACTCCAGATTGATGATGGCAGCACCAGAACATGCATCCTCCAGACATCGCTGAAGGTCACCTGCACACCGATGTAACCCAAATATCTAGAGCCCTTGGACCAAATATCTTAGCAGGCAGGTCATTCCATCAGGCACAATCTCTGGATCCGTTTCGGGCAACTTGTGGGCAAGTCCAGAAACGCAGGCAGTTCTGACCCAAGCCAGTGACACGGTACCTGCAGCCTCACTTTGTCATAGACCCAACAAGTTGCCGCCTTAAGCAAGGCCTTTAGCACACCCCAAACACAAAGTCCACCAATGCCTCACCAATGCCCCACCAATGCCCCGGCTTGCGACAACGTCGAGTCGAGTCGAGTCGAGTCGAGTCGTGACGCGCCTGCGCCTCGATCTGCTTCAGTTGGCGCTCGGCACGGACCAGCAGCTCCTTGTCCTCGAAACCATCCCACGAAGGCTGTGGGGAGGGAAGCGCAGGGACGGTACACAACGTCGGGGAACCGGCTCCGAGCCGGTTCTTAGCTACAAAAGGCCGTTTTTTCTTTGACCATAGCACTTGCAAACGCTCTTGCTCCATGTCCATGTCCACTAACATGGGTTTACAACAATGACACACAGAATCAAAATAACCCTGAATCATTTCGAAGTTGCATTTTTCACAGCGCGCTTTCTGTCCATGTTTGCAGTGCACCTGGCCTCAAAACTGGCGAAAGTGATATCATGCTGCCAGACGAGGCTTCCCAAACTGCCGGGAGGCTGAGGCTTGCATCCTGCTTCACCCGTTTCAACTTGGATACCCTCCCACCAGCCAACATGGAAGTGCAAAAGGGCCCCTGTAGAAAGACTACTTTCCTCTTCCAAAGGGCCTTTTTGCACTTCCATGTTAGTTGGTGGGAGGGTAACTTGGAGAAAGCCAGCAAGACTCAGAGAAACAAACAAATCTCACAAGCCGATTTCTCCTTTTTTTGGAAGTCGTAAAGAAACAAGTAATCTCAAACATAGTAACCCACTAATAAGTCGGAGAAAAAGAAAAAAAAGGAAAAAAACGGGGAGAGAAAAAAACGAAAAACGAAAAAAAGGGGGAAAAAAACGAAAAACTGAAAAAAATAAGAAAAACGCGAAAAACTGAAAAAAAAAATCAGGGGGAGAAAAAAAGAAAGAATGAAAAACTGAAAAAATTGGAAAAAGGGGGGAAAAACATCGCCCCTGGCGACCGCCGGCGCCCCCCCGCCCAGCCGACTCGAAGCAAGAGCCCAGCCCGTCGAAGCGAACCCTCCTCCGCTCGCCATGTTTCCATGGCCAGGCGCTGCCCGGTGTCAAATCTTATGTTATATATACATATGTGTATATATATATATGTATACATATATATACATATATATATATATACATATATATATATATACATATATATATATATATTGTATATGTATGTATGTATGTATGTATGTATGTATGTATGTATGTATGTATGTATGTATGTATGTATGTATGTATGTATGTATGTATGTATGTATGTATGTATGTATGTATGTATGTATGTATGTATGTATGTATGTATGTATGTATGTATGTATGTATGTATGTATGTATGTATGTATGTATGTATGTATGTATGTATGTATGTATGTATGTATGCATGCATGCATGCATGTATGTATGTATGTATGTATCGTGTATGTATTATGTATATACTATGCATAGAATATATATATATATATATATGTATATATCAACGTCGGAGCGTTTGAAGAGACATGGATCGACTCTTCATAATCACAAGCTTGGCTAATCATTGCTTCGTGCTCTGGGTAAAAGTTGCGTGTTCTTGTCCACATACCATCCGTCTGGCGTTTCCGTGTGGCCAAGTGACGATCTTTGAGCCCGTTGGCTCCCCAATCCCTGTCGCCCCGTCGCAATATAGAGCAAACAAAAACGACCCCGTGCCAACTTGTCACTGTGTTTTCCCATTTGTTTCATGGGCCATAACTATAAATGGGCCCGGCCCGAAGCCATTGCGAGAGGCCTGTGGGCTGGGAGCACCTTTTATCATAGCCGCCCATGTCTCATTCTTCGACCACCCAAATGTCCACTGTACACTGATGTCACACGATGCCACAAGCGGCCCCAATGTGGACGGGTTTGGCACTTTCCAACGTGGAGAACTAGGACCACGATGAAAGCACCAGTTGGGCGGCTGCTAGCCTTTCAGTGGTGGCGACCTCAGCAAAAGTTCTTGTCACTCGTAGGGTAAAACTCTGCCCCTTCACATTGTGGCACACTCGGCCCCTCCCCCATCTGAGCTGAGAAGGGAGCAAGTAATGCAATGGTTTGTTTGCAGTTCGGTGATTTCCGCTGGGAGCCTGAATGGAAAGTGTTTCCGCTGTTTGGACTGGGGGGAGGGGCTAATAAAATGGCAGTTCCTTGACTTGAGCCTGTCAAATCCTCTACTATTTCCGCGCGTACCTGCAAAGTACTGCATCCCCGAAAACACCTCTGCGGCAAGTCCCAATGGTTCAATGGAAGAATCAAACTATCATCAAAGCCTATCCCATTCATTGATTCTCAGATCAATCAACCTTGGGTGATTGTCTTTGTTCTGACTTTCTGGGGTGCCTTCACAAGCCACCGTCTTTGCCTCTGAATTCTCCCCGACAAAAAGTCTGAGGATTTGTGTATTACACCCTGGGATTACACCCTTGAAAAATGACCCAGAATGGTTCAAAATAACACGGTTTTATCCGAAAATGTGCCTAAATGGGGTCAATACCCAGTGGGTGTATTCCCAGGGTGAAATGCAAAAACCCTTAGAAAAAGGCTCGAGTCGCTTTGGCCATGTCTCCCTTCAGAGTTGCAAGCTCGGAGACTGGGCCGCCGGCACGAGGATCACGGAGTCTCCGCGGACCTAAAAAAGAAGCGAAGGATGGACCAGCCAGCGGCACACGACCAAAAAGTGGCTTGGGACATGGCTGTGGGTCAAAACCAATGGGATCCCATTTTGGGGTAGGTGAATTCATCACCCATTCTTCCCCACGGAGATAGCACCATCTGCAAAGCTGCGGCTGACTTTATAAAGGGTGCATCGTGTTGCGAGCTGTGCCCCCAGAAACCACTGCATCAGATCGTGTGTGGTTTGCATGGCTCTTGGATCTCTATGTTTTGGAATCCTCAACGAACCAAGCTTTGGGGAGTTCTCAAATCATGTGCTCCGGCAAGACAAAATATGCAAGCAAGACAGCGGTGCTGTAGGCTCGAGCGGTGTATGGTGATTGGGGCAGGCGGGTTTACATTTGACAAGCAAGCCAGCGAAGGACAGGTTCATCCCGCTGACTTTCTGGGAAGTACTCTGGGTGAAAGGGTACATAGAAACCGGCAGTGCAAGCCGGCATCCCCTCTTCTTGGATTCGTTGCAGTACACACGTCAAATGTGCAAGCGCCTGAAACTAACTGAAAAGCGCAAGTTCTTAGTTCATACGTGCTGTGGACAAAACTCCTTATGTGGGTCATCCTTGGTCGCGTGTGCAGCGATTTCGCGCACTTTGGCCCAGTAAAGGGTGTATGTGGGGGTCATGGTACCATTGGTGGTTTAAAACCCCCATTCAGGGCCACAACGATCTCTACCAACCGCAAGCGACGGGATGTACCGCAGTCGAAATTGCGTTCCATCCTCTAACAGTGCCCCTTGTTTGGCATGCACAATCTGCGGACACTGAACAGAAGGACCTGTTGCATAAATCCTGGTTGCACCAGATTGTCCCTTTCCAGCCCTTTCCAAAACCGGCCCTTCGGCGCGCCCGGACCGCAACCAAAACCATCCATGTCGCTTTTGGCGGCCCAGCAAAGATCATCTCGATGCCGCGCCGGTGGGCCTTCATCTCGGGCTCCTTGCTTCGTGAGTATGGTGGTCCGAGGAGCCAAGCGGTTTCTGCGACGCTGAGAGAATTTGGCACACTCCGTCCACAAATTCAAAGCATCTAAGCATGAAAGCCGTGTGCTTTTTGTTTTTTTTAGGACCTCAAACACTCAGCGGCCAGCTGCCCCCATCAGGCCACGGACCCCCCGAACCCCGCCTTCCCAGGCACCTCCTCTCTCACGTAGGAGATCTCCTGGCAGCAAACTCGGCACATCTCAGAGCCCACCCGATGCGCAAGAGGCTTTTCGCATGGCTCGACCTGTAAAACAGTTGCCAAACAAAAAAAGTTGCACCCCGGAGACTCACAAATAGATTTGTTTTAAGAAGAAAAAAAGGCCGTCCTGCTCCCAAGTGACCATACCGCCTCCCCTCCCCCTGACTGACGAAAGCCCCTGGCCTCCACTTCGCTGAGGATCATGTTCAAGTGCTGATCGTAGGCATGTAACCTGGGCATGGCCAACGAAAAAACCAAAGCAAGCTGAGCACTCTGCGAGTCTGGCGACTCTGGATACAGACTTGACATCGGGAATCCCCTGTTTTGGTTGAAGAGAAACCAATCGTCGGTTGGGAGCTGAGCCAAAGTATCAGATCCCGTGTCCGCACCGCCAAATTTGTCACCCCCTCGCCAAACACCGCGCCCGGCCTGCCCCGGATTTCACGATCCCCGCGGCACTTCACGAAGATCCTCTCATCGAGATTCTGCCTCAAGGTCCCCGGGGCAGAAACAAACAAACGCTGGACCGGCGAAAACTTGTTGGCCCATGCGCTTTTCCCAAACAAAGTGAACAAACAGCCTTTCGCAGATTCGTTCCGTTGTGCCGGGCGCTTGCTGTGTCCAGGAAGAGAAAGAACACGCAACTTGCTGGTGCGCAAGTTGCATGTGGGAATGAACCCAGGGGTGCAAGGAAATCACAAGCACTGGTGTATAAGCTAAGGGTCATTCCCTCTGTCTCTGCTGAGCAAGTCATCCGAACCCGCCTGAAACCACAGGTGCGCCCGATCCACGGCGCTTGCCTTCCTTCCTGGGGCCCCCGGCCGGATCATGTCCAGCGGCTCCTCAATGGAGATGCCCAGGCCCTGAAAACGCCGCTCTCGCCCCAGCAAGCGGAAGCGGTGCATCGGTTTCAAGAAGGCGGAAGAACCCGTCCCAGAGGAAGGCAGGCAACTCGCATGCAGGACCTTGACCCATGCTGTGACGAACTCTCGCTTCGAACACTTGCCTCCGCCATGATCGGCGAGCCTTGGCACAGCAGTTGCATGATCGAAATCTCTGATCAAAAATCCCTCCACTCTCGGAGCCATGCCACGGGAAGGTCCGACTGCTAAACGCATGTGCGGTGATTCATTCACGAAATCAGAATCCGGGAACAGAATCCCGCACCAGAATCCCGACCGGCTGTTGTCCATCTCCAGTCAAACGGGAGATATGGCCCCTGGGATCATGCAAGCAAGGGGCCCTCTATTAGAGCGACCCAGGGAGGATTCAAGCCTCCATGACTGCTGGCATCCGCTCCCAAGCTTTTGCGACCCCAAGATCCGGCCACACTGTTGGAAGAAAGTTTCTTGGCGCAGCCCCCTTCGCGCAAGTAACCGCATCAAGCAGTCCGTCCTGCCTTATCCTGCCTTCCTTCCTTCCCTTCCTTCCCTCCTTCCCTCCTTCCCTTCCTCCCTTTCTCCCTTCCTCCCTCCCTCCCTCCCTTCCTTCCTCCCTTCCTCCCTCCCTCCCTCCCTCCCTCCCTCCGAATGGCAATTAGACTTCTCTTGACGCCTAAAAAGTTGTTTTTGAGTCTTCATCGGATTCTATTGACGCTCCACAAAATTTGGCTTGATACCTATCCCGGCAAGAGACAGCATGGGGGTATTCAGAAGTCCTCACAGTCCTTGACTCTCTGAAGACTCTTAGGAAAACATTCAGTTTGGGCCCTTCGTGTCACATTCCGTGCCCGTGATCGCTCTCCGACCTGAGTACAAGGCCGGACTCCCAAAACCGCCTCCGCTTGCCCAGCTGGAGTTGGATCCTTCCCCCTTGAGCCGTCTGCTGTGCGAAAAACACAAAAGCACGTGACAAGCCCAGGTATAGTCACTCGACAATCTTTTTCTCCATCTCTAAAGCAAGTGTGGCTTCTCTTCTTCAATCCTAGTGATCCTTGCGATGGGCCAAGGAGGAGATATTCTTAGATTCCTCATTCTGTTGATCATCAACTGAATCACAGTCGGCTTTGCCGTAGCAATGCGGCGCAGAATGTAGATGGAATTGATAAGCACCAAGGAGAATGAAGAAAACAAGGCCGCGGTCAGGACAAAACCAATGTGCCCATCCTTTGTTCGATGCACCCTCGTTGCTTGGGAGGTGGAAGGCGTACCGATCCAAATTTGTCCCTTGGGGTGATTCGCAGGTTTCAACGGGATGCCAGGAATCCGCATCCCGTGGATCCATCTCCCTTCCACTCCGCCATCTTTTTCTCCCCTCGACACCCAGGGCTTAGTGTACAGCCCACTGGCCTCTTGGCCTCGTGGGCTCGGACGGCTCGTGACGGCTCGTGCAGGGCGCATCGCTCAAATTGAAACAAACATGGTAACAAACAATGGCGCATCCAAGTAAAGGACTGATGAACTGAAACCAATTGACTGAAAAATCAAACTTAGTAACAAGAACTGTAGGCCCGCCAGCCAATTTTCGGTTTCCCCGAAGGCAACCCTCGCAGCAGAAAACGCTCGCAACGCTCGCGCACCGCTCAGTAGGTTTGATGCCTGAAGGGTGACTTGAATATGTCCTCCTGCGCAGCCGGGCAAGTCCCTGGTTCCATGCAGACAATCCCATTGAAAGGTTCCAGAGTCGCACCCCGGGTCGCAACCCTCCAGATAGACGGTGCATTTTAATTTGGCCTATCAAATCATGAAGCAACAGAATCTCCTCCCCTCCAAGCATCAATGTGTCATATTTGCCCCTCGCCGGGCCGTACTTCATGGGTAACAGGGATATGATACACACATATTGCTATCCATCATATGGCCATGGGTCAAAATCCCCCAGTAAACATCCCAATCCCCACTAAAATAGGTTCTAAAATGGGTGGTGCCCCCCAATTCAGAACGGTACCATTGGTTTTGACCCACAGCCATATCCATCATGTCGCCTTGCTTGGAACTCTTCGAAAGCCCGGGTGAGCCCTCAAGAAATATGCTCACTGCTTCTTGGGCTCGCAATTGGAACCTAGTCCATTTAGATGCAAGCGAAGCTTCCGCCCCGAGCAAAACGTCTTGACCAAGGCTGCAAGGTGCCAGGACAGCGTGTCTTGATCCGAAAGGAACAAGCGGGACTGACCTTTGCCACGCGATGCTTCGCGTGGAGACAACATCACACAGAAGCAACAAGAAGCAAAGAATGGTGTCCGGTCAAAAGGAACCAATGACATAGAGTGCAGCTTCTTGCTTGAATAACTCGAAAATATGTAAATCAGCAAAACGTGATTTAGTGTGTGAGTGCCGTATTACATGTGGTATGCTTCCCGATGACTTTCAATCACTGAAGAGTTGAGGTCGCTGCTTGAAAAAGCACATCAAATGCACGAAAACTCCTCTCCTTCCATCAAAACAAATGGAGCGACTGAGCGACTAGAGAGCAAGATCATGGAAGGGTTCTTCGAGAACCACCTTCAGCTTATGACTCGAATAGCCCACCAGAGCCTGGGCTTTTTGAATTTCCTCATATACCTGAAGAGGTTTCCCCGAGCCCCAAGCCCAGCCACGCAGGTGCGAAACCCATCCAAACATATCGAAGCATCCATCAATCCCAAAGCGTCCTGCGCGTTGCCGTCCAGCCCCAACCTGGGCTGGAATCTGCTTTTCTTCTTTTTTTTTGGGGGGGGGTACCCGCTTTTTGCTTTCTTCTTTTCTTTTCTTTCTCTTTTTTTGGGGGGGTAGGTGAATGGCAACCAAGAGGAAAAGCACTATTTTGGAGGGCCATATCATATCCAAGTGTTCAAGGAGTCTGGGCAAACTCAGGAGGGCTGTGCGACCGCTAACGAGACTGACCATCGATCCGGCCTGTTGTTGATTGCTTCGCTGGCCCGCTTCTTTTTCCTTCTCGGCGAGCCATTGTAATTGCCATCCTCGTGACAGGCGCCGGCGTCATCACTAACTCTCTCTATAAGTGTGTCGCTTCTCCGGGAGGGGGGGCCTAAAAAACCGTGTGTGTTTTTTGATATTCGGGTTTAGGGTGTGCCCTCCACTGAAAGAGACCCCTGCCTTTGAAAGAGAACTCCTGCCTGGCGGAATGCATCGTCCAACTTCAAAGGCACGTCAGCCAGCACAAACCAGCTGTGCCTGTGCAGTGGCAGACCAAAAAGGATAACAGCCATTTTGCTTGTGTGCCCGTTTAACTTACTACAGCCGGCTGCTGCTGTATTGGGTTGGCCGCTTTTTTCCAGCAGACTTTGCTCTGATTGCTGGCCTTGCTGGCCTTGCTGGCCTTGCTGGCCTTGCTGGCCTTGCTGGCCTTGCTGGCCTTGCTGGCCTTGATTAGGCCGTTGAGATGTGTATGTACAGTAGGCGTGGCTTTGAGGGCGCCCGCTTCTTGGAGTGAAAGCGAACCCAACGATGGGCCACTCAGGATGAGGGTCCCACATTTGAGACAAACTCAAATGCTTTTGGAAGAATTACTTCGGCAAGCCAGAAACAACCTCTTTTTCGCCCACACACTCCCCACAAAGAATTGGCCATGGGTCAAGATCCCACACCCCCAGTGAACATCAACCAATCCAACCACTAAAATAGGAAGCCTAAAATGGGGTGGTGAATTCACCCACCAAAATGGGATCCCAAATCGGTGTTGACACCCGGCCAGCGGCCGCTTCGGTGTCCGTGCGGATTCAAATCCGCGCCTGGGGCCTTCTTCGTCGAAGCGCACGATCCGGAGCCCCGAGTGCTGGGCGTCCGCGAAGAAGGGCGGGTCCCCCACGCACCTCGGCAGCAGAAGAGCTTTGCTCCTGAACCCAAGTGAAGTGGGGGCTATGCGATTCAACTGTTTTGCTAGGGGTTGCAAGGGCTGTTATGAAGTATAGCCAAAGAAGGGCCCTTTGAAGGCCCGGAAGGGAGGCCGACTTGATGCCCAACGCAAGGCCGAACGCCGAACGCCGAAACGGACTTCTTCGCTGTGTTCCTTGGCAAGTGCACTGGAAAAACCACCAAACTTTTCAGGTACCACTCGAGTTGTCTTCCCAGAAAGTTCAAAATCAGGAAAACTCGGGAAGTCAGTTGGGGGTCCTCAAAAGTTGTCCGAACTGAGCTCATCGCTTGTCGAAGTCGGGCCTGTTCGAGGTGGCCACAACCTCAGTTGCGGACAGAGGACGGGGTCTTGGAGACTTTGACCCAGTGCTCGCGTGTACTTGTCAATGCTTCCTACTGGAACCTGCACTGGTCAATGTTTCATCCTGCTTGACCGGAAAACTGGTTGCCGGCCATTTGGCTTCCATTTGAACTACCAAAGGGTCAGCTGCTGGACGCACCCATGTGCTGACAGGCAGAGCTCACGTGCAGGGTCATGATGTGCAGTGAGCTAGAAGAAGTGCATTCAGCAAAGGAAAAGACAGAGCCCTTCATTGATTCATCAACATGTGGGGTTGGAAAGCTGCGTTCGCAAAGACTAAGGCTCCGACACCTGCGTTCGCAGTCCAGTTGATGTTGCTGCCAACACCAGCACAGGTCACAACCTGAAACAGCCATGCTCAAGCGTCCTTCCGACACTTGATCTGTGTTTTTCCTTGGCTAACGTCTTGCACATGCTGGCGACAGCAAGCAGGAAGGGAACTCTCAAAATGACCGTCACACATGATGTCGGATCGACACCCACACAGTTTTTCTCGCCCATTGCACTTGATGCAGTGGCCTAATGGGCAAAGCGTTGCCTCTGCCTCTGCAAAAATGTGTGTCCATGCCCGTGCGGAGGGGGGGGGGGGGTGGGGGGGCGAACGCTGGCAATAATAGAGGTTCGGATCCTCCACTGGGTCGCTCTCTTTGTTTCTTGTTGTTTGTGTTGTGTTTGCTTTGTTTTGTTTTGTTTTCGTTGTGCAACTCCGTTGCTAAGGCCTCCAGGTCATCGTCCACCGCGACGGCATTGCCATGGTAGTGTCCGCAAAGCCAGAGCCTGTCGCAAGTTGCATGGCAATTCTAGACGGTTTGGATGTGTGGTTTTGTGGATTCATCTCTGTAGTATATAAAAAGAGTGCTAAAGGATCACTAAAAAGGAACAGGGAGAGAGGGAAAACGGGGGAAATCCACAAAAAGCGCATCCAAACTGTTTTCTAGAGCAATGATGATGGAGTGCGTATTGGAGGTGTCGTCTCCCAAAGCCATGGGCTTCACAACAAAAGCATTTATCTTATCCAGGCCGCAAGCTTGGCAGCAATGTGGCCACTAAACGTCGGAAGATAAAACACTTTACCACATTCTTCCCATGAATAAGGATGGTCAAAACCTCGGGACAGGGGCACAATGGAATGTGGATCGACCCGAGAACAACGCCGTGGTTCAGCTGGAGCCCAAAACTTGTAGAATACCCCCCACAGTCCACCAACGATTCCCGCATCTTGAAAGTCGCGATAGCACTCGCATTCCGCGCCTCACACCAGCATCTTTGGCCAGCTTAACGATGCGGTCCCGCGGTTCACGCTCCCAGTTCGCCCAGCCTTGCCTGCGAGCTGCGAGTCGCAGCCGGCGATCCCTTTGCTTGGCTCTGGTCCGAATCTTGCAAGTGGATCTGTCACAGTCGGTTTCTGTGAGGATTGACAGCGGCAACATTGCTTTTCAGAGGAATGCTGGGAATGCTCGAAAATCAGCAGCCGTAGAAGCCAAATGTGTTTTGGAAGCAACCAGCATCTCGCAGCAATCTTTCTCCATGGTGTACCTAAGGCACACCGCCAACTCCTGGGTTCCCCTCATTGTGCCCCTGTCAAACGGCCAACCCAAGTTCATGGATTCCTGCTGCTTTGCCACAGGAGCTGCCAACTTTGGAGTCTTCTCAAGAACGGCCTTTCGGAAAAATCCGGAAACCTTGGGCGGCTACACGGGCTGCAATCGTGTCCACCCCCATGTTGTTTTTTTTGCCATATGGGGTGTGGGTCAAAACCCTGTACTGGTGAACCTCAAAAATAGGTGGGACATGGATGTTCCGCCCCATGGGATCGGCATAGGTTACGACCCATGGCCATCTCCTTCCAGTCCCATACGCCAAATGCGAACGCTGGCAAGCCGACGTGGGACTTCCCGCGCCCCTGAGACCTGCTCAAAGCCTAACCTTTAGTGGGTTGAACGGAAATCCCACCACGAAACCCCCCCCAAAAAGGCCAAACAAAAAAACAATAAAGAAAAGAAAGCCGAGAAACCGGATGGCTGGGAAGCACCAAGACTTTGGCGCAATTTCTTTGGGGCCGGGCGCTCGGCGCTCGGCGCTTGGGGCCCGGGCGGCTCGCTGGGCTCCGCGATGAAGGGCGGCACGTGGCTCAGCATCACCACGTGCTTCGGCTGCCTTCGCAACATGCTTGACACACAAACAAACAAACAAAACGCGGAGAATGAAAGAAAGAAAGAAAGAAAGAAAGAAAGAAAGAAAGAAAGAAAGAAAGGAAGAAAGGAAGGAAGGAAGGAAGAAAGGAAGAAAGGAAGGAAGAAAGGAAGAAAGGAAGAAATCAACAGTATCCAAGAAAAGCACGAAGAATCAAGGATTGACAGGTGGCTGTCATCGCGCCCAAAACTTACTTCCAATACTGCCCCTTTGCAAGGTTTTGCAAATCAAATCGGTCAGGGATCAGTCCCCTTAAGTGCCATAGGCGGTGTTGGGAAACCTCAGCCGCACTCCCAGAACAAACGACCGGATTCCGCGTTTTAGGCATCTGCTCCAGCTGTAGGATTCTTTGGGGGACATCGGGTGAATTCAACTCGAATTCACCCCACAAAGAAGGCTTGGGACCTACAAAAACTGACGTCAATTCCATTCAAACAACCCAGGAGGCCCATCCCCAGTGCTCAAGGGTAATCGTGCAAAGGTTGAAGGACCGCTTTGCAAGGAACATGGTCTGCTACAGAGCGCTCCCGCGGGTTCATGGTCATGACCTCCTTGATCGGGCATGTCTGGAGTCCTGTTCTAAGTTCTACAGGTTCCATGTACAACCACAAACCATAATGAAGGTATGGGTCAAAAGATTCATTCCACCAGGATATGGACCGCAGGTTGTAGTCCTTGGCTCCATTTACCAGGGTTTCATTTTGGGTACCCTCTGGTCCACTAACATGGGATCCACCAAATAGTCCATTTTGAAGAAAATTAGTTGTGCTGGATCCCCCAGTCAGGTTCCATCTCAGTGAACAGGAGGGTACCTATCTTTGACCAAGAGACATAACTCACCAGTGCCTTCTGCCGCCTCCCCGCCTTCTCCTGAGTGCTGCGAACTGAGCCTCAATCCAGGCATCCTGCCAGGCGCGCGCGAGTGCAGGCAGCGCAACAACCGGAAACCGTCCAGAGCCAGTCACAAGTGCGCCTGGTCTTTCCGCTGACTCTCAGTCTTTGATGAGTCCATGTAGAACCTGACACAAGAACTGACTTCTCAAGCATGCGCAAGGAGGCTCCGTAAATGCAACCGGCATGCTGCGAGTTCAAGACCATGAAGTATACACCGCCGACCTGAGACGGGCTCGATACCAACGTCACCAACGTCCGCCCTCTGATTGAACTGGGCATCACACCCAGAAGGAGAAGTAATCATCACCTAAGCAGCCCAACCGATCGACCCATTGGCCATGGGTCAAAATCCCGTACCCCCAGTGAACATCCCCATCCCCATTAAAATAGACTAAAATGGGTGGTGCGGTGCAGCTACCCCAAAATGGTACCATTGGTTTTGACCCACAGCCCCATCGGCCCATTGAAAGTTCTGTCCAAGATCCAAGCCCCATCTGGAGGAATACAAGTCGAGCTCATTGGAAGTTGGGACCTGCGGCCAGTCCCGTCTCCCAAGTAACCTTGGACAAGAACATACTCTCTTCTGAGCGAGTAGAGCGGCGTCGCCACAACAGTTACATACCTCGTCCCAGACTGTCAACCACTTTCAGGATTTCTTCTCAAGCAAACTCAAAAGTGCTAACCCGGACGATTTGTTGAGGCCCTGACCCCCCGGTCTCATGATCGTTACCGCAAATGGCACGTTCGGCACTTCACTCTGCCCTTGGCCCATCTAGTTACTATGTGGGGTTGTCATGGTTGATCTCCTTGCAGAATCCCTTTAAACCCTCCCCCCAAAAGGGTGCCATCAAAAAAAATAAGCCGCCCATTTCGTTGAAACTCTGACAAGTCCAGGGTCGCCAAGTCTTTACCCCATTCGCTTGGGCGCATCTCAAACCCGGCCTGGCCGATGTCGTGGTTTCCAGGCACCTCGGTCGGAACATCACACCCAACTCAAACCACCCTCTGTTCGAACCGACCCAACTGCCTCCTCTACCCAGTGATGGCACACGCAGCGTGCCATCACTGTCGAGTCTGTTTGCCACCTTTTGTGAGAAAATTGGCGACCCTCTCAAAAAGGAATCCTTCACTACGAAGGGGGTCGATCAAAAAGACCCCCCTGAATCCCTGTCTCATTCACCCCGCCCTCAGCAACTCTTGGCACATGACCAAGACGATCGGAATGGAGCTGTCCACCTCCCGGAGAACCTGCGCATGGCGGGATCCCGATGCATCGCGGGGAGCTGAGATGGTTGCGAGGGGGGTTCTGGGCGGCACAAATCTCAGACGCATACACATGTTTCGTATATATGCGTATGTAGACAAATGTGGATATAAACATAAGCATCGATATCTTGCATGCAGACACACATACGCACGTGCGCATGCATGTATCTATGTACTCGTGTATGTGAGTATGTGCGTATGTGTGCATATATGTGTGTATGTCTGCTGTCTGTCTGTCTGGATGGATGGATGGATGGATGGATGCATGCATGCATGCACGTATGCATGTATGTATTAGAGTATGTGCGTATGTGCGTATGTGTGTATGTGCGTATGTGTGTATGCATGTATGTATGTATGTATGTATGTATGTATGTATGTATGTATGTAAGCCTGTAGGTCTTATGTATGTCTGTATGTCTGCATGTATGTATGTCTGTCTGTATGTATGTACGTACGTACGTATGTATGTCTGTATGTCTGTATGTCTGTACGTAATGTATGTAATGTAATGTAATGTAATGCAATGCAATGCAATGTAATGTAATGTAATGTAATGTAATGTATGGATGAATGTATGTATATAGAGATGGATAGATGGATGGACGAATGCATGCATGCACGCATGCATGTATGTATTCGTGTATGTACGTATTTGCGCGCGCGCGTGCGTGCGTGCGTGGGTGGGTGTGTGTGTGTGTGTGTGTGTGTGTGTGTGTGTGTGTGTGTGTGTGTGTGTGTGTGTGTGTGTGTGTGTGTGTGTTGTGTGTGTGTGTGTGTGTGTGTGTGTGTGTGTGTGTGTGTGTGTGTGTGTGTGTGTGTGTGTGTGTGTGTGTGTGTGTGTGTGTGTGTGTGTGTGTGTGTGTGTGTGTGTGTGTGTGTGTGTGTGTGTGTGTGTGTGTGTGTGTGTGTGTGTGTGTGTGTGTGTGTGTGTGTGTGTGTGTGTGTGTGTGTGTGTGTGTGTGTGTGTGTGTGTGTGTGTGTGTGTGTGTGTGTGTGTGTGTGTGTGTGTGTGTGTGTGTGTGTGTGTGTGTGTGTGTGTGTGTGTGTGTGTGTGTGTGTGTGTGTGTGTGTGTGTGTGTGTGTGTGTGTGTGTGTGTGTGTGTGTGTGTGTGTGTGTGTGTGTGTGTGTGTGTGTGTGTGTGTGTGTGTGTGTGTGTGTGTGTGTGTGTGTGTGTGTGTGTGTGTGTGTGTGTGTGTGTGTGTGTGTGTGTGTGTGTGTGTGTGTGTGTGTGTGTGTGTGTCTGTGTGTCTGTGTGTGTGTGTGTTGTGTGTGTGTGTGCGTATGTACGTATGTATGTATGTATGCATGTATGGATGGATGGATGGATGGATGCATGCATGCATGCACGCAGGAATGCATGTATGTATTCGTGCATAGGTGCGTATGTATGTATGTGCGTATGTCTGTATGTATGTATATATATATATATATGTGTGTGTATGTATGTAAGTATGTATGCAAGCATGCAAGCATGCAAGCATGCAAGCATGCAAGCATGCATGCATGTATTTGTGTATGTGCATATGTGCGCATGTGTGTGTGTATGTATGTATGCATGCATGCATCTATGTATGTATGTATGTATGTACGTATGCGTGTGTGCATGCATGCATGCCTGCCTGCCTGCCTGCCTGCCTGCCTGCCTGCCTGCCTGCCTGGATGGATGGATGGATGGATGGATGGATGGATGGATGGATGGATGGATGGATGGATGGATGGATGGATGGATGGATGGATGGATGGATGGATGGATGGATGGATGGATGGATGGATGGATGGATGGATGGATGGATGGATGGATGGATGGATGGATGTGCAAACTTGTTCTGCGTGATCATGTTATGAAACACATAAAGATGTACACGTATGTACACAAAAATACACACGTACATGTTCGTATATATATATATATATATACTGTCCCATGCATAAGGTTACCTCAAGACCGGCACAAGACCCTCTCCTCTTTGACTGCCACCACTTGCTTGGCGGCGCTGCTGGGATCTGCCTGTGGCCCCACCGGCCACGCCTTGGAGCGGAGAAGAAGGCCAGATCGAACTTCCCAGGCCCCGAATGGCTGTGGGTCAATGGGGAAATGGCAGCCTGGGAAATGGAAACCATGACTCAAACCTGTGGATTTTCTGGTGGCTTCATTTTGACCCATATCCAAATGAGCATGGGTAACTGCTCCCGTTCAGTTCAAAACATCATCTTTTTGGTGGTTTCCCCCAATGGTCATCACATGTTCATCGGTCCTTTTGATCAACCCCCATATGCGAAAAGTGCGCGCGAGACAAGACAAGTGGGTCGCGCAGCTCGAGATATTGCACATTGGACCATGTTAAGCGTAGTTTACGTAAAGTTGAATCACAAGAACACGGGCCGAACAAACCCCAGCTGGCTTTTTTGCAAAACCCCGGATGCAACGCGCTTTCTCTCCGGCATGGGCCTTAAAAAAAAAAACATCTGGGCTTGACCCCGGATGTCGTTGGGGGTGAGAAAAAATCGTTGAGGCCGGCGCGTTGGTCAAGTCCCCACTCACCAGCAGGAACCGGGGCTTCAGCCGGTTCACGTGCTTCACCGCTCGGCCTCAGAGCGAAGAGTCCTGAACCTGGGGCTCTAAGCTCCGATGATTCGAGGGCGACTACGCGACTGCCCGCCATCAGTGAAAGGAGAGGCTGAAAATCTGTGTTCTTTTCCGAAAAAGCATGTGGTTTGTCATCATCACGAAAAAAAAATGTGTTTGGCAAAGGCTTTTCAGCAGCTGGAAGTTGGACATTTGCTTTTGAGGCTTGCCCCCAAAAAACTAACCCTTTGGCTCCGAGAGATGTGGTCAAAGCCTTGCAAGAGTGTGGCCCAACCCTCGCTGGGCGGCTGGCTCAGCATGGCCTTCTCCTGGCGTCTCCAATGGTAAGTTGAGAAATCAGGGGGTAGCTCGGGCAGGCATTTGATCAGTGGCCAAGTTGGGTTGGTCAAGGGTCATTGATCAGTTGGTTGTTTTATAGAAGTGCCGCAGCGTCAGCCGCTCAGTCATCGTTCTCCATTGCCGAATAGTTGATGCTCGAGCAGTTCACGTCGAATCTCTTCATCAGCACACCATGTTTAATGCGCTAAGGAGTTGGCTGATCGTCGATTTAGACAATGCGAATAATCGCTGACTCCCTGAAACCTGCAAGTGACACGGCCCGTTTGTTTGTAGTGGTTGACCGTCTTGCCCCTGTCTCACACAATATCAAAAAATATCCACCTACATGGCCATGGGTCAAAACCCAAATCGTACCCCCAGTGAATATCCCAATCCAACCACTAACATAGGTCCTAAAATGGGTGGTGAATTCAACTACCAACCAAAATGGGATCCCAAAACGGTTTTGACAGCCACAGCCACATCACGCCCATTGAACTGCCCAAAATTGGGCGCGAAACTTGGCTGAGAGGCCTCCTCCCAAGACTTGTCCCCGTGCAGCATGCCAAGCCTCAGTCACACATGGCAGTGGGTCAAAAAAAAGCACAGTGAATATCCCAATCCCAACTAAAATTGACTAAAATGGGTGGGTGTGGGTCAACAATAGGTACCCGAAATGGGAACCCTGGTAAGTGGAAACATGGATTTAACCTGTCCCATGGTGGTTTCATTTTGACCCACTGCCACATGTGGAACAGTAGCGCATACGCCAGAATGTGTGCCTGGCCCCGACCAAAATGGTCGGCTTATTCTTATTCTTCTTTCGGATCCCCGAAGACACAAAAGGAACACAAAGGACCAAGGAGGTCTGGGTTTGCCTATCTCTTGAGGTACTTGTCAATCTTCGTCTGAGGGAAACCATGCAGGCCAGTGCTGGCTGTAAACCCCTTGAGACAAACCCACACCACTGAGGCCCAGGCTGCGGGTCAGCCAACTGCACAAAGAAGAACTCGCCTTCCCAAGAGCCTTCCTGTCCGCACAAAAAATGAGCAGCGAAAGGAACAAACAAGAAGCTTGAAGTAGACTGCTCCAAAATCTGTAGGTCATTGGTAAATCAAACATGCTGTCGGAATGTTTCAGGCTGCTGTGCGCCACCTGTGACTCGGAAAAAAGTGGGAGGGCTGGGGCTTGTGCCTTACCTGTCATCCAATAGTGGATGGATCTGTCTGAAGTAACTATCAATGTGTTCTACGTCACACCCTATCGTTGAGCAAGTTGGTGATCCCCAGCTTGGACACAATTCCTCAGAGTTGACCATTTCAAGGAAGAAACTCAAACCATCTGTGAGTGCTAAAGGGTGCACTCAAAAATGGCTCCGCCAAGTGGGGCGCACAACGAAGGAATAGTTTTCCAAGTTGTGCACCGACCATATGATCATTCCGCAAGAGAAACACGCAAACATTCTGGAAACCTACATGATTGCGCACATGAGCGACTGCTCAGTGAGCGCGGGATTCTCACCACTTTTGGAGACGCCTCTACTGGACTATGCGGCCGCCCTCTCAAGTTCCTCAGCAATGGTGAATAAGCCGCTGGCCCCACACGTTTGAACCCATGGTGCTTTAGAGTCCGATGGGAAGTGAGCAACCAAGACTTACTTACACACATACATACATAAATAACATACATTACATTACATGCATTACACACAGCACACACATTACAAGCACTACATACATGACATACATGAGATACATTACATACGTTGCATACATTACATGCATTTCATACGTTACATACTTTACATACACTACATACACTACACACATTCCAGATATACATGCATACCTACCTACCTAGATACATACATAACCTACATAAATATCATACATACACACATACATACTTACATACGTACGTATGTACATACATACATACATGCAGACATACATACATTACATACACACATACATACATTACATACATTACATACATACATTACATTCATTACATGTATTACATACATTCATACATTCATACATACATACATACATACATACATACACACATACGCACATACATACATTACATTACATTCACTACATACAAAACATACATTACACACATTACACACATGACATACACTGCATACATTACATACACACATAACATCAAATAACATAACAGAACATAACATAACATGGCATAGCACAACATAACATAACATATATACATACATACTTACTTACATACATACATACATACACACATACATACACACACATACATACACACACATACATACATACCATTACATTACAGTACATTACATTACGTTACATTAGATTACATTACATGACATTACACTAAATCACTAAATGCGAACATGTCCCTACAGTTCCCTTTTCCTTCGAAAGCAGTGTGTAGGTGCCAAAGCTTCGCAACCTAACATGGAGGCCCCACCTGGACTCTCCATGCCCAAAATGGCACCGATGTGCCAAGCTACTGACCCACCCCCCCACCCGGCTCCATGCCACGCGGCACCTGAGAGCCGGGCGGGGCGGGTCAGTAGGAATGCAAATCTCCACCGAATCCGGTCACGGGATTTTGGAGAAATTGAAAGAGTTTGTCTCAGTAGTCAAGGAAGAAGGACAAAGTGCTGGGTCAGCTCTTTGACCTGCGTGCGGTAGGGGTCCAGGAAGCCGTGGTAGGCGGAGCGTAAGCTCGTCCGCCCAAATTTAAAATCTTGGGATGTGGTTGGGTGCTATGGAGCACCCATGCTTATGGAGCTGCAAGACCAACTCCATCAGAATGGAAGCTATTGGGCTTCTTGGACGAGAGGTTGAGCATAGCATAGACATTTCCTTGGTTATCACTGCCCACCGGCAGTCGGACTTGCGAGGATGAGTCACTTTGCTTCTTGGCAAGGAGTTTGCACAGCAGAGTCCCAAAGAGCTCCACAGAGCTGCTATGCGCTTGGAGCACCATCCCGCCATTTATGTCTCCCCTTCGGCAGACTCCGGGAGGTAGGGGGGGTACTGTTCAAACGGTATCGTGACGAGCTCCTTCAGGAGAAAGGGCATCATCCGCACCACCTTGGGGGTTTCCCGCTGTGTGGCCATCTTCCAAGTGTAGCAGCAATTTGGCAATGGGGCAAGCCGCAGTGGCCCATTGGATTCTGCCCAGATAATGAGCTGCAGTACGTCCATCACTACGATGTGTTTGGCTGCTGCCATCTGCACCCTCGGCGGGTCAGCCTGCGCCGCCAATGCATCCTCCTCCGTCCCCAAAGCCTTGCTTCCGAGTGGGACATGTTCGAAGAACGAGTGGAGGGGATTGAAACTATTTTTTCTCACCAAAGAATAGGGGCAAGCTTGAGCCAGAATGGCGGGCCACTTTGGCTCATGTTATTGATTCATCAAATGGTACCGCTACGCTCTTCCATTAGAAACATATTACATTACATTACATTACATTACATTACATTACATCACATCACATTACAGTACATTGCATTGCATTACATACATTACATACATACATACATACATACATACATACATTACATTACATTACATTACATTACATTACATTACATTACATTACATTACATTACATTACATTACATTACATTACATTACATTACATTACATTACATTATTACATTACATTACATTACATTACATTACATTACATTACATTACATTACATTACATTACATTACATTACATTACATTACATTACATTACATTACATTACATTACATTACATTACATTACATTACATTACATTACATTACATTACATTACATTACATTACATTACATTACATTACATTACATTACATTACATTACATTACATTACATTACATTACATTACATTACACATTACATTACATTACATTACATTACATTACATTACATTACATTACATTACATTACATTACATTACATTACATTACATTACATTACATTACATTACATTACATTACATTACATTACATTACATTACATTACATACATACATACATACATACATACATACATACATACATACATACATACATACATACATACATACATACATACATACATACATACATACATACATACATACATACATACATACATACATACATACACATACATACATACATACATACATACATACATACATACATACATACATACATACATACATACATACATACATACATACATACATACATACATACATACATTACACATACATACATACATACATACATACATACATACATACATACATACATACATTACATACATACATACATACATACATACATACATACATACATACATACATACATACATACATTACATACATACATACATACATACATACATACATACATACATACATACATACATACATACATACATACATACATACATACATACATACATACATTACATACATACATACATACATACATACATACATACATACATACATACATACATACATACATACATACATACATACATACATACATACATACATACATTACATACATACATACATACATACATACATACATACATACATACATACATACATACATACATACATACATACATACATACATACATACATACATACATACATACATACATACATACATACATACATACATACATACATACATACATACATACATACATACATACATACATACATACATACATACATACATACATACATACATTAATTACATTACATTACAATACATTACATTACATTACATTACAATTACATTACATTACATTACATTACATTACATACATACATACATACATACATTACATACATACATACATACATACATTACATACATACATACATACATACATACATACATACATACATACATACATACATTACATACATACATACATACATACATACATACATACATACATTCAATACATACATACATACATACATACATACATACATACATACATACATACATACATACATACA